ATGGGGTAGTAGTTTTTGACCGCCCATTTGGCCGAATGCTACCAACTGTTACTGGCTACCCCTGGGGTCTATGCCGGCTCAGTCAGCGGCAGCACCGCGGGGAGGTCGCACGGGGGCCGCGCGCTGGAAACGTACATGGAATCGACAGGAAGTGTCTGAGCGAAAGTTTGCTCTTCATTTGGGGGAGTTGGTAACCGCTTCTCTCTTTTTGGTATATTAACACCGATCCAGCTCAGAATATGAAGAATAATCATAATGAGGATATCGACCTCCCCAGAACCAACCTTAAATAGAGAGCTGAGTCATACACTATCTGAATGTCTGAATGAATGCACATTCTGGCGCTTATATCATGGTCAGGTCGTGCCATTGTTCTGTCACCCATGACATGCGAAGCCTCTGCACTACTCGAAAATATCGATACGGTTGGCTGCGTCAATCGCTGTTTCTGAAGACGCTGTTATACCTATGCAGAAAACAACGGAGTAAGGATGATGAGTTGCGAGCACTTCCGATTGCCTAAGACATCGCTCTAAGAGCTGTGTTCGTAATTCGGGAAGCGTTGAGAAGGGAGCAGAAATGTGATGGGCGATTTATTGCGCATTGTAGAAAGGTGACATCAGAATAAGGGAAAGAAGCGCATAGGCTGTAGTTAAAAAATAGCGTCTTTTTGTGAAACTTAAGTAACTTTTCAAGCCCTCCAATAACACTATGCAGCAGTCATTTTGTTCCTGAGTAACGACCGATTTTTTTGAACTCATTGGGTGTCATTATAACCGAAATGGGCATTTGTTTTGATCTGAAAATGCTTTTCCGGTTTTCAGAGACGATTTTCGTTTTTTGGCCCCGAAATTCGGTTTTTGGCCCACCGTGTCCGGCGTAATTGAGTATAATCGACTCGTGGTAACTTTCATCGCCTTTCCTATGCCACAAGCTTTCGAATGATATCCGGTTTTGCATATTTGCGTGTAAAAATAACGTCATAAATCTATGTTAAATAAGAAATGTTGAAATTTTGTAAAAAATTTGACATTTTTTCGATTTCATTTAAAAATAGAGAAAAACTAAAAAAATCTTTCCAAATTCTGAGCCCAGTTCCTTGAAGAGCATTCAATTTCCGTTCGGAAGGTACTATTTTAGTGCATTTTATCGGTTTACTGTGGCGTCCAGATTGAGTCACTGAAAAAACGGGCCCCCAACCATTTCCATGACAATATGTGTTCAGTGCATGAAGAACCATTCTAACAAATGGAGGTACAGATCAAGATTCTGAGCGACAGGACTGCTCAAAAGTAAGTTCCTGCGTGTGACCCGAGGTCACAAGGGGTCAACAACATGACCTCAGTTGACCCCTCGCTGACCCTATGGCGTTAACATACGTTATCAGGTTAGTGCTATGTGATATGACCTAGGATATGTGTTAAGGTTAACTCAATCTGGACGCCACAGGAATCCGATAAAATGCACTAAAAAAGTACCTTCCGAACGGAAATTGAATGCTCTTCAAGGAATTGGGCTAAGAATTTGGATAGGGTCTTTAGCTTTCTCTATATTGAAATGAAATCGAAAAAATGTCAAATTCTTACAAAATTTAAACATTTTCTTACTTTAACATAGATTTATGACGTTATTTTTACGCTTTCGAATGATATCCGGTTTTGAAATATGCAAAACCGGATATCATTCGAAAGCTTGTGGCATAGGAAAGGCGATGAAAGTTACCACGAGTCGATTTTTCAATTACACCGGACACGGTGGGCCAAAAACCGAATTTCGGGGCCAAAAATCGAAAATCGTCTCTGAAAACCGGAAAAGCATTTTCAGATCAAAACAAATGCCCATTTCGGTTATGATAGGACCCAATGAATAAGAAAAATTCGGTCGCTTTCCAAGCACAGAAAATCCTTCATTTTTTTGTTGCATAGTGTAATGAGGCAGTAGGCTACTTACTTACAGGTATTTTAATTATTTGCAGTTCAACAGGAAAGCCTGGGGTCAAGTCAGTCCGGTGACCTCAATCTAGCCAATTATAAATGGGTTAGTTCTGAAGGTGTTCATGTTGCACCGCGATCGCATGAGTCCATCTCAAGCATACGCATAAGCATAATATATTTCATATTGCAACCACATTTCTTAAATGCTACGGTTTAACTGTTTATCATGTCTTGCAAATTTGACGTAGGCTGACCGACGTCTTGCATCAGTTCACACTTCACAGTCAATTAACATCAACGTTTTTTTTTTTGATGACGTTCAATTAAGCAAAAATGCAGTCACTAGCCCTGAACTTACTGAACTTGTAACTTACGCAATACGCATATCTTTATTGATTGATGTGGTGTAGGCTAATTTGCGATAAATGCAATAACGAAGGCTAGTGCGCTAATTACGAGCGCTAGTTTCTGCTGTAGGGGAGAGTGGGGCAATGGCGACACCATAAGCATTTTGCTCAATAGCTTAGCTATTTGAAGCTATTTTATGGTGATTTTGACTGTGGTTAAAGCCAAAGGAATAGGCTTTCAGATAACACCCAGTTTTAGTATCTCAGATCACTGATGACAGATTCAGAGCCTACGCGAAAATGTGGTGAAAAATGGAGGTGCAAAAAAGCGAGGGGTAATGCCGGCCACTAAGTGCAATAGCACAAAAAATCGAAATATCGTCACTGGTATTCATCCTTAAACCGTTCTTTCGATGGAAATTTAAGTGAGAATTAAGAAACGACAACTGTATTCAGCAGTTAACAGTGCACTGCACTGCAACACAACATTGCACTCGCTGCAACACAACAGCGCGGCGCCAACAGAGCAGCAAACTAACACAACCGTAAACAGCAAGCAAACTAACACAGCCGTAAACACAGCAACCCGAAACGTTGAGCTTTAACGACAGAAGTCGCAAACAAAACCGCGTGGAGTCATTCCGGACACGTGTCCGGTATTACCCCGAGGTCCGCTTTATTTTAAGAAAGCAGGCAGCAGTCAAAGGCATTGCGTCGCAAACGCCTCACATCCAGCAGTCGCCTAAGAAAGGCTTAATTGAAGGTCATTGCAAAGCAGCACTTCTGAAAATGCGTTAACACATTTCACAGTCAGCAAATAGATGCAACAAAAATTAAAAATCAGATACGAAAAACACATTTAACGCTATAAAAATGAAAATAATGGAGCTACCGTGACAAACTTGCACCACGTGATAGAATGGCGCTCAACTGAAATGTAAACAACATCAGCTGATTAGTGATGGACAAAGTACTCACTAGAGACGGGTGGCCGGCATTACCCACCGTCCGCCATTGCCCCGCTCTCCCCTATCGTTATTACTGCAACGGCAACCGCAAGGCAGCCACGTCCAATGCGAGCCGCCCCGGTCCGGCATACGGCCTCGGGTCCGGCAGCTTCTGCCCCGTCGGCTCCACGCATCCGACTGACCGGCCAAGGTCACCGCTCCGTCCGCCAGGAGGGCGGAGCTTAATTAGCCCTATGGGCGTTGCATGGAAAGAATGCAGGGGCGCGGGAACTACTTTCAGACTGGGGGGGGGGGGGGGCACACCATAATAGAAATCAACCTAGGGTACCCCCAAATCTACTTTTCTCACCGGTTTTAGGCCACTTATTTTTCATCCCTTGGCTTTTTCAACAAAAAAAGAAAACATTTGCAAAAAAAGTGCGGTATTCCGTCTCAAAGTTGTGGGGGCACCGCCCCCAGAGCCCCAGAGTTGGGGGGGCAAGCTGCCCCCACTGCTCCCCCGGTTCCCGCGCCTATGAAAGAATGGGACCAAAAGTCGGCAGTGCCCCCCCTTAAAGGGACTATCCCACCTTCTAAAATGTTGTTAAAAACCAGTTAAATTGTGCCCGACTTTATAGATTGGATGACCAGGAACACGGTTCTGGCATTTATTTTTCATTAAACATCTTAGGCTTCCCATATTCCAAACACAAACTTTCAAATATGTGACGTCACAGCCCAAAATTACCTCCTTCCCCAGGCCACATTACTGTCATAAAGCTGATTCTTTTTACTCTGTAGGCACCACAACAAAGTTCAGACCAAGTTTTAAGCGATTTTTCAACGAACAAACCCATTTAAATCAGAATGACTAAACGAGGTGACGTCACACTAACGGTCGCTCCATGTTGAAGATAGGGCCTTGCGCAAGGCCCATTTTCAAATGAAGGGAACGAATTTCTTCAACACCAAGAGGCCGCGGGGGTTGCAACCTAGATAGATAGTGGTTTCTGAACCTCGCCGCAAACTTGGCTATCTCAACTCAAACCCCATGTTAAAGGTGGGATAGTCCCTTTAATTGAAGGTATTCCGCCTCCACTGGCTACGGCAAAGGCCGGCTTACCGGAATAGAGCCATATCGACCCAGACCCCGGCTATGACGGCATTCCGTTTTCGGTATTAGTATATATTAGGTCCGAGTGGACAATTGTGACGCTGTTGATACAAATATGTAACAGCAAAAAATTTAGGTTTTAGGTTAGGTTAGGTTGTAGGTTTGTAGGTTTTAGGTGTTAGGTTGGTAGGTTTGTAGGTTAGGTTAGGTTAGGTTGTAGGTTTGTAGGTTGTAGGTTGGTAGGTTGTAGGTAAATAGGTAAGGTTAGGTCAGGTTTGATTATGTTTTTTCTTTTATTTCCAAGACATATAAGTATCATTTTTGGATTCAGGATGTCAAATAATGTAAGAATATGAAAACTTTATCTTTTAACAGCCACTCGGACTCAATGTATACTTTTACCCCGTTTTCACCGGCTCAAGTCTAGTAAGTCGGAGTTGCTGGGGCAAAACGGACTTGAGCTGAGCCAAACCAAATTGATGGCTGGGTATATGGAGAAGCACTTTCTCAGTCTCTGATGCCTGCCAATTGCCATGAATCTGCCAGCGTTTTCTTCTACTTAATTCATCCGTGCTAGAGATCAGGGTTACTCTACGATTTTGTCTGTCCTTTAAAATAACAACACGACACTACATGACGTCATCGAAGAACGTCACGGCCTTAGGAAGCTGCCGACTGCTTCCGACGACCCCGAATGCCACGTCAACCAATCAGCGCTCGCCAACGAACCGGCGGCCATACGTGTTGCGGCGACAGACGCGTCAGAGTTGTCGAATATCTTTTGCCGGTTTCCAAATCGACTCTGTTGCTCTGTTGTCTCTGTGTGTTGGCGGGAGGTGTTTCATAGGGTTTGCGTCAAAAGTAATTAACCTTTTTTCACAATGTTCAAATTGTTGATCTTTGCAGTGGTCATCTCATCTGCCCTAAGTGATGCTGTCATTGAGCTAGGTGACAGCGATTTTGATAGCGGTGTTGCTGAGCATGACACAGTCCTGGTTATGTTCTATGCTCCCTGGTAAGTATGTCTATAACATAGTTAATTCGTAGTCATTTTCAGCTGTACAGGAGTAATTCAGTTATTCATGATATGTTTTATGAATGGCTACTCATACTTAAAGATATGCCACTTGAGCTAATACCTGAGACTGAAGTGGGAGGTAGTTATAGGTCTCGCAGGTTTTAGCGGTAGGTTTTGCACCTAGAAAATTTAGTGTACTTCAGGCTATATCTTTGTCGTCTTAAGCTTTTAAGTGTTGAAGATGTGATAGACTTGTTGGTTCACAAGCCGGCCATGCTCGTGTAAAATGGCTTCATCATAGATCGATTAGTTTCTGAGATATAACTGGAAGTGTAAAAGTGCAAAACCTACCTCTTAATCTCGCAAGAGCCGTAGGTACCTAGCAGGGGGCTTGACTGGGCCAGAATCCCGGGGTCCAGGGACCTGTGGAAATTCCACATGATAAACACTAACATGAATGCTATAAGTAGGTATATATATTTACACAGGTACCTAGGTACCTAAGGTGCCGCCTTATAAGCCAAAGCTGTGCTACGCATGGTCATCGTGGAAATTATGAGCATGTCCTGCATTATGTCAGGTTTTGCAGGAATGAGGAAATCACTGTATTATTAAGTAGGTAACCTAGCTAATGGAAGTCCAGTTTGTACTTGCACTGTGGACTTACAACAAGTGATTGGTCCACGGGGGGGGGGGGAGTCTCCTTTAAAATCTAGTCTCAGTAGTCAGTCTCAAACATTTGTGTTGTAAATGAATGATGAGTGAGGGATGCTGAAACTAAAGTAAAAAGGTTGTTTGAATTTATTTTCCAAATGTCATTCATGGTACTGCTGATTGATGCATGTTCTTGAGCCTTACATATGACCTTTTTAGGTGTGGACACTGCAAGAAGCTTAAGCCAGAATTTGAACTAGCTGCGAAAAGTCTTATTTCAAATGACCCACCTGTGGCACTTGCAAAGGTAAGACATCAAACTTTTTTGCTGCAAAAGTTTTAAATGTACCTACTCTAGACAAGGACAAAGGACAGTCATGTACTGGCTAAAGCACATTATAGCTGAAAATAACACTAATTTTGGCTTAGATAGACATAGGCACCATTGTTGTACATGAATTCAGGCCTCATAAATTCATGTTTAGCCTGTCCCATAGCTCAGTTGGTAGAGCGCTGGACTCCCGCGCTGGACTCCCGGTAGTGACAGCCCGGGTTCGAGTCGCTCCGGCGCTCGATATTTGAGACTCCTGACGGGGATGGTCTGCGGTTGGTGGGAGCAGCCGCAGTCAGTTGAAGTCAGTTGAGTGAGACAGGCCGTGTCCAGCTTTGAAGGGCATGTTAAGCTTTGGCATCTAAATTCTCCCGTTACCAGGAAGTACGCGATCGGACGGTAGGGGTCGGGGGTCTACGCAACAAGCTCTGCTTAGCGTGGGCTCCGGCTCTGTCAATCCGTCCATTCAAACATTCGAGCTAAATTTATAAAAAGATTTTTCAATCTCTTTGATCCAGTTCAGGAGAGTCATGCTCCCTTCATATATGGCCAGCAGGTGGGGGGATGTGGCCAATGAGAAAGGAGATCACCTAGTGAACATTTTGCAGTTGAAACCAATTTCAACCCAGAAATTGTAATTACAATTCAACCTTTGCAGTGTAATCTTGAGATTGCTTTATTTAAAACTTTAAATTGCTTCGATGAGTGACCTGACTGTTTTGGCTTTCAGGTCGACTGCACAGAGGCTGGCAAGGAGACATGCAACCGGTTCTCTGTCAGAGGATATCCCACCCTGAAGATATTTAAGGGCGGCGAAATGTCCCAGGAATACAATGGACCGAGGGAGTCGAGTAAGTGCCCTTACAAGTATCGATGATTGAATGGTTAACTAGCTCAGAGGTGGGTGATGACGATCTGCTGGAGGGGTTTCTGTGAAAATTTCCAGAAGGCAGCGTGTAGATCAAGGAATAGCCTGATGAATGATGAACAATAGACCATCTCTCTTCACCTCATGGTCTTAACCTGAGGTCAGATAGCAAAACTGTCCATGTAAGATCAAACTCCTCTGCTCAGTCGGCGCCTCTATGATAAAAAACATTGCTGGGTGAGCCGATCGATGGCGTGCGCATCGTGAAATGTCTTTCAGAGGGAATCTGAGAGATTTGTTTCGTCTTATGTTCTTTGTAGCTCAATCGGTGTGGAGAAACCCGATGAAATTTAACCCGCGCCCTGCTGGGGGGGGGGGGGTGTTTGAACACCCCCCCCTTGTGGTTTTTCGCGAATATCTCAAAAACGGCGGCGCGGAGCGCCGCCGTTTTTGGTACACCTTATCATACATCAATTCTACACATGTTGTGAAAATTTCAGACCAAGGTCATTCAAGGTCAGGTCACCAGGTCACTTGAAGTGACCTCACCTCATAAAAAGTTTCAATGTCTGTCATAGCTACACCGAGTGACCGATCGCTTTGAAACTTTCAGCGATTGCTAAGAGCAATAGCATGTACAAAATGTATATCTCAGAATTTTGATATCGATGACCTAAGGTCAGGTCAATTTTGCGACCTCCCCATTATAAGTCAATGGGAGAAAATTGAAATGCGCCTCTTTTGGACAAAAGACATTATAAACACTCCCAAACACCGAATTACAAGTGGTTTAGACACACTGAACATGAAAATGGTGTCCGTGACCCTTGTTTATGCCCTGAGGTCATCTTAGGTCACGAATGGTATCTAACAGTTTTTCGCAAATAACTTGATAGAGGCATGCTAGAGCGATGAAAACGCCTTAGATGTGTTCAGCTCGACGATACGGATCGACTGATATGCAACATGACCCTTTCCGGTCAGGTCATGACCTTGACCTGAGGTCAAATTTTCAAGTTGACCTTTCAAGGTCAACTTATAGTTCATTCGATGCGTCTTGACGAGAGGAACACGATGCCGGTAAAAGTAAGCTCGTACAAGGCTTGGGTCAAAAGTTATTGCAGAAAAACTGTTTCCGAAAAAATCCGCTATTTTTGCAGTTTTTGCCCCCTGCAGGCAAAACCGTTGACGTTAGGTCAAATCTGAGAGAATTACTCAGAAAGGGCTTTAATAGGGCTATCGAATGCGCTTTTCCGCAGCGCTGTAGCTCTATTGGTTCTCGAGTTATGCGTTGGCTTCTTGGAAATTTTCGACATTCGACCTGGAAATCGGCGAAATTTTGCCTTCAATGACCTCTGGTGACCTGACCTTTGACCTGACCAAAAAATTGACCAAAGTGATTTCGTCATTATTTTTGACGCTCTTTCGAACGCCGCCTTCTGCGTATCGCTACGTGGCCCAGGAGCCGAGTTACAAGGGGGGGGGTGTTCAAACACCCCCCCCCCCCCAGCAGGGCGTGGAAATCCAGGACCCCCAGCCGGGCGCGGGTTAATAGGAAAAGAGATGTTATAGAGCTTTCGATTTTTCCGTTTCTTTGTTTTTAGGTCTTAGTAGCCAGAAGCCACAATGGTATGATGAGTCTGTCATCAATGTCAATCGGGAAATTTATTTGACCTTTGATATGTAATCGACCTAGTGAGCTGACCTGTGACGATATTGAATGGTCCCAAGTGCTCGATATTTTTTTACAACCTTTCCAATGCTGCTGACCGCTCCTGACTGATACGTTGTCTGAGGGCGTGTTCTCTGTTCCATAAGCTAATCGTTACCGATATCGATGAAAACAATACAGAATATGTCTCCGTTCCGCACTCGCCGTTACCGTTTGTATATTCACCGCGACCGCCATGCACCGTCCGGTACACGGACTAACAGGCAGTGGCCCCTATCCGCAGACGGCATCGTGAAGTACATGGCCGCCCAGGTGGGGCCCGCCTCCAAGGAGCTCACCGCCGCCGACTTCGAGAAGTTCCTCGAGAAGCCGGAGGTCGCCGTCGTCGCCTTCCTCAAAGAGGGGGGCAGCCTGAAGCCAGTCTTTGAGAAAGTAAGATCATGCTTTTCCTATTGTCCTTACTTACCCTCGCATGTGTGCGGCGTTTGCCAGCTTCTAACGTGTAGGGGGGGGGGGGGGGGTGGACCCCCCTTGCCGTTTGGGCCCTGATCGAGCTAGAGCTTCACGAAAAAAAACAGCGTGATGCCCGTGACGAGAGGAAGCCGATGATACCCAATTTTAAGGTCCTAGGTCATTGGTTGACCTTCCAGGTCAGGTCAATGACCCAAAAGTCGGGAAAATCGGAACCTGTTAGAGCTTCGTAGAGTGAAGCTGATAAGGATTTTTTCGGGGTGCTGATCACGAATATCATGTTAGTTTTGATCGCAGATGATGCCTTTATCCATTTAGGCCAGGTCGGGTCAGATCAGGCCAGGTCAACCATTAGGCGTCCTGCCTCTCCGTACATAGTACAAACCGTACATAGTCAACTACCACTGACGGTGTCGTAACATGTTACGAAGGCACTAAAAGTACTTCGTGAATGTTCAAATGGATGCTAAATTCGAAATCAGCCCGAAAAACTACCCTAGAAACGTGTAAAACTCGAAAAAGTGACCCGAGGTCATCAAAGGTCAATGACCTGACCTAACCTTCAGGAGACCTTAACACCTACCGTAATGCATGGGAAAAACATCATTTCACATGTTTGGACGTTTATAATCACAAAAAGACTGAAAACGCGTGGATAATGTGAGCTGGCATACGCTGAATCGCGATTCCGGCCAAACATGACCTCGAGAAATAGGTCACAGGTCAAAGGTCACTTGGGTCAGGGTCATTAAATTTTCAAAGTAGGTGTAACCCACCCCCCTCCCCCCTACACATGCGAGGATTAAGATGTCTGTCGACCGATTATACTGCACCTATACCGAACTGAATTCATGACTTAGCCGTTCCTTGAACAAATCGTGGACGTTTTGTGCTGCCATTAGAACAAGCTTAGGGCAATGTTGGAATTGGGAATTTTGGTCCTGGTCCCGGAGAATAAAATCTGGCCGGAGAATCGGCCAGCTTTTAGAACATTCAACAGGAAAATCATATGTTTGGCGTACTAAAATATGTGACAGTTGATAAATTGTGTTCTCTCAATGCTATAACTGCATCTTTTAGGCGTAATAATGGCAGTTATCACACAGGCTGGAAATTTAAGAGATTTTAGGTGCCGGAGAATATATTTGTAAAGGAGAATCAAATTGTTTGGACCCGACTGAGACCAGCAAAGGGCCTCATTTCCTACATTGGCTTAGGGAGTTACATACATATAGCGTGCGTAATAATGCTCATTGACATGGCGTGTGCGCCGTCAGTCGTGTCACAGCCGCCGCGTTTGCCGCGACAGGTGTCTGATAAGCTGCGCGAGAAGGTGCGCTTCGGCCACACGTCGGACGCCGCCCTGCTGGAGAAGCACGGCGAGGACGTGCTCGTCCTGTTCCGGCCCAAACACCTCAAGAACACGTTCGAGGAGAGCTCGCTGAAGACTGACTCGACCGATCGCGCCGAGATCGAGGCCTTCATCAAGGAGAACTAGTGAGTACCGTGTGTGTCCCGGCCAGAGGCGGCGAATGTGAGTTTTTGACCTTGGATAGACATCTCGATTTAAATCGCATTTATTCAGAGGTGGCGAGTGGCGGAAGGTTCAAGACGTCTGACTTAAACCCGACTCCCTGCAGCCACGGCCTGGTCGGCCACCGGACCACCGATAACGTGGCCGACTTCAAGGCGCCCCTCATCGTCGCATACTTCAACGTCGACTATGTGAAGAACCCCAAGGGTAAGCAGTAGATCATGGACGTTTGATAACAGTGATCGTGTGTCGTATCCTGTTTGACCCTTGCTGAGCTGACTGTTCTGGTGTCGAGTGCCTTGAATATCGCTAGCTACGTACCACGGTGTACTTTTACTGCCGATGTGGTAATACTTGTATAGGCATTCGGTTCACGACTTAGATTTCATCTCGGCCCGGATGCTATGAATCTCATCGAGGAGAACGGGTCGGCTTTAACCCGCGCCCTGCTGGGGGGGGGGGTGTTTGAACACCCCCCCTTGTGGTTTTTCGCTAATATCTCAAAAACGGCGGCGCGGAGCGCCGCCGTTTTTGGTACACCTTATCATACATCAATTCTACACATGTTGTGAAAATTTCAGACCAAGGTCATTCAAGGTCAGGTCACCAGGTCACTTGAAGTGACCTCACCTCATAAAAAGTTTCAATGTCTGTCATAGCTACACCGAGTGACCGATCGCTTTGAAACTTTCAGCGATTGCTAAGAGCAATAGCATGTACAAAATGTTTATCTCAGAATTTTGATATCGATGACCTAAGGTCAGGTCAATTTTGCGACCTCCCCATTATAAGTCAATGGGAGAAAATTGAAATGCGCCTCTTTTGGACGAAAGACATTATAAACACTCCCAAACACTGAATTACAAGTGGTTTAGACACACTGAACATGAAAATGGTGTCCGTGACCCCTGTTTATGCCCTGAGGTCATCTTAGGTCACGAATGGTATCTAACAGTTTTTCGCAAATAACTTTTGATAGAGGCATGCTAGAGCGATGAAAACGCCTTAGATGTGTTCAGCTCGACGATACGGATCGACTGATATGCAACATGACCCTTTCCGGTCAGGTCATGACCTTGACCTGAGGTCAAATTTTCAAGTTGACCTTTCAAGGTCAAGTTATAGTTCATTCGATGCGTCTTGACGAGAGGAACACGATGCCGGTAAAAGTAAGCTCGTACAAGGCTTGGGTCAAAAGTTATTGCAGAAAAACTGTTTCCGAAAAAATCGGCTATTTTTGCAGTTTTTGCCCCCTGCAGGCAAAACCGTTGACGTTAGGTCAAATCTGAGAGAATTACTCAGAAAGGGCGTTAATAGGGCTATCGAATTCGCTTTTCCGCGGCGCTGTAGCTCTATTGGTTCTCGAGTTATGCGTTGGCTTCTTGGAAATTGTCGACATTCGACCTGGAAATCGGCGAAATTTTGCCTTCAATGACCTCTGGTGACCTGACCTTTGACCTGACCAAAAAATTGACCGAAGTGATTTCCTCATTATTTTTGACGCTCTTTCGAACGCCGCCTTCCGCGTATCGCTACGTGGCCCAGGAGCCGAGTTAGAAGGGGGGGTGTTCAAACACCCCCCCCCCCCCCCAGCAGGGCGTGGAAATCCAGGACCCCCAGCCGGGCGCGGGTTAAAAGCTTAAACTTTTCGGACTTGATTTTAATTTAACATAAGTTAGCTTGCAGTGAATTTTACGTAGTTGTGCTGGCAAACGGAGTTATTACAGGTTATCTTATCACTTTACCTCCGATCGTTTTGTGTGCTGATCTATCGTATCTATTCGTCGGTAGGCACCAACTACTGGCGTAACCGTGTGATGAAGGTGGCCAAGGCCTTCGCCGGCCAGGGCATTACCTTCGGCGTCTCGCAGCACAACGACTTCCAGCACGAGCTGGAGGAGTACGGCAGGGGCTTCGTCAGCGGAGACAAGCCCGTCGTCTGCGCCCGCGACGCCAAGAACAGCAAGTTCGTTATGGAGGAGGACTTCAGCATTGACGCGCTGCAGAAGTTCGTCGAGGACTTTTCGGTAGGTGGCGCCAGCTGACGGCTGCAGTGGGGCTAGCGTGGGTACCGTACAGCGGCGCAAGCATGCGGGAGCGAAGGGCTGTATTTCCTTTGAACTAATTTTGTTCTCTTTTTTTGTTCAAATGTTAATGTGGATTACTTTTTCAAATGCTTGGGTTACCTACCTTGACTGTTAATTTGGATTACTTCTCTGTGAAAGTCCCGTGCCGTGACTTAATTTGGATTACCTTTCCGAGAAAGCCCCGTCCAGATTACGTAATTTCGGCATTAGCTGAGTCAGGACGGTAGTTGTGTGTCGGACTGCCGTTTCGTCAGGCCGGGAGTGGACGGTTCCATCCCCACTGGACGACACTGCTTACTTGTAAAAATGGCTCAATTTTTCCATTAAAAAATGACCGTTTAGTTGTGATTTGCTTTAAAAAATCATGCTTTAATGGTATGTTCCCGGCTGGCTTATGTAACTTGGTCATATTCTGTCTGTCCTAACGACTGTAGTCAACCGGAACATCGATTTCACTTCCGTTTCGATGTCCCCAGGCCGGTAAGCTGGAGCCGTACCTCAAGTCAGAGCCGGTTCCGGCGTCCAACGACGGACCGGTCACCGTGGCCGTTAGCAAGAACTTCGACGAGGTCGTCACCAACAACGGCAAGGACACGCTGATCGAGTTCTACGCGCCCTGGTGCGGACACTGCAAGAAGCTGGCGCCCGTCTTCGACGAGCTGGGCACCAAGGTATGACGTCGGGCGCACTCTGTCCGGGCAGTTTTTATAGTTTGTCAAAGGAGACCACTTTCGGCGGGACATTGGTTCGCAGCCGTTTTATCTGAAATATGGGATGTTTTTGGTCGTTGTTTGCGGGTGCGTTTTAGAGAGTAGGCTGACAGCTGACAGCGCACGTCTTGTGCCTCCGCAGCTGAAGGACGAGGATGTGGCCATTGTGAAGATGGACGCCACGGCCAACGACGTGCCGTCGGGCTACGAGGTCCGCGGCTTCCCCACGCTGTTCTTCCTGCCCAAGGACAAGAAGGACAAGCCGCAGCAATACCAGGTCAGGGGACAACGCGCCCATGAGTCGAGGACGTGGCTTTATCCTCCCTGATATCCTTAGCCTGACCCTTCCTGATACGTTGATAATTTACTGTTGTTAGGTTGAGTTCGTTCGTTGTTCGTTCCTCATGTTGATTTTATGAAGAAGCTGAACCTTAAAACAACAGCTTGCAACTATTAATCATGGCTACTCGTCATCAGATCATACATTTCGTATCGAATCTGTGAGAGCTTTAACCTTTCCTGGGGACTTGTCTTTGCCCGATTGCTTTTTAGAGGTACAGGGAGGACGTGCCTCACAATCATAGAATACAGATAAACGACTAATATAACGATAAGGTAATGCCGTGACGCCAATTATGTAAAGTAACCCCCCCCCCCCCCCCCCGAGTCGCTGTATCACCATTCAGGGCCAGTGGCACATGTTTTACGGCGCGCCCACCGTGTTACAGGGAGGTCGCGAGCTGGACGACTTCATCAAGTACCTGGCCAAGCACGCCAGCAGCGAGCTCAAGGGCTGGGACCGCGCCGGAAAGGCCAAGAAGACCGAGCTTTGATCGCCTCATAGGCGATGCATTGTGAGAGGAGATTCCGAGTGCGCCGCGGTCATGGCGGCCTGTGATAGGGGGAGCGGCCGGTGCCCTGGGCTCCGGAGCCGCCTCCCCAGCGCCTGCGCGTCATGGACGTTCACAAATCCACCTGCGGCGGCCCGGCAGAGCCGAGCCGCGTGTCCGTTATTCCGTCTCCGGGTGTGTGTGTTGAATGTGTTCCGCTCCGCCACCGCACTGGCCTTTGTTTTTTATTGATACAAAATATATGAACAAAACCAAGATGTGCACATGAGAGGGGTCACAGCGCGGAGCCGCCGCCCGGAGGGGGCGGGCTGAGGCAGTTCGGGAGTCGGAGGTTCATCGCCGCTTTTGTGTGCTGATGTAGAGGACGTTGTTGCCGCGGATGAACGCGTCGCCGTACTTGTTCTTCAGCTGCCCGTTGTTGTACTCCTCGGTCTGCTCTAACGCAATGTTCATGTAGCCGTCCAGACAGGCTAGCACACCTGTGGAGGGTTCAGGTCTTAGCGCACCAGATCAGGTTTGGGAGGGGGAGAGAGTATGGAGAAAAAACTCGCTCCGAGAGGAAACAGGTATTAGGAGCGTTCTTCATCAGTTGATTGAAGCAATCGTCGCAAGGCCTAAAATTGGCACACTACGGATCCTTTCTGAAAACGGAAACTTGAATTACGTCCTCGTTTTAGCACACTTATGAGGAAACATAAAAATACCTTAATCCTCAATGCCTCTGGGTTAAATGGTCGACATTCCCCCTCCCCCCAAAAAAGTCTGCTCAAAGTTGCTCGTCTGGGTAGATACGTGAAACTGTACGCAGTTACGCACCTCTGTAGTCGATGCCGTTGTTGAGCTTGACCACGACTGGTCTTCCGATAACCTGCTTCAGGAATTCGTTAGGCGTCTTCTTTTGCCCAGCCTGAACACTCATGGCCGCTGCCTGAAAAAGACGGGCTCTTGATGAAAATGGCAGGGAGTCTGATAAATGCTAAGGATGCATTGCAGACGAATCATTAAAATTTCACGAGCGTATCCACAAAATAAAAATGTCACTGGAATTCCAGCAGCACTTGTGCTGAGATGTCAGAAGAATCTCATTGAACAGATATTTTATTCCAGCAAGCACCATCGGAACAACGTTCAATAATTAGCTTGGGTACATTTTGGCCTAATTACCTAAACCCTCGCCGGCACAAGGGGGGGGGGGGTCCATGCAACCCGCCCCCTAAGGTTTTCGCGAATAACTCGCGTAAAAAGCGGCCGATCGCCACGAAACTTTCAGTACCATCGCCTTGATCAATTTTACACCTACCCTGAAAATTTCATGACCCTGACCCAAATGACCTTTGACCTGTGACCTACTTTCCGAGACCATGTTTGGCCGGAATCGCGATTCGGCGTATGTCGGCTCGCATTAGCCGCGCGTTTGCAAGCTTTTCGTGGTTCCAACCGTTAAAACATGTGATTTGATGTTAATCCCATGCATTAGGGTGGATGTCAAGGTCAACCGAAGGTCAGGTCATGTCATTGACCTTTCATGACCTCGGTTCACTTTTTCGAGTTTTACATGTTACTAGGCTAGTTTTTGGAGCTGAATTAGAATTTAACAAGGACATTTACGAAGTAGTTTTGGTGCCTTCGTAACATGTTACGAAGCTGTTAGAGGCGGTTGACACGTACTACGAATACCCGTCACGACCCCTACTGGTTGACCTGACCTGACCTGACCCGACCTGGTCTAAATGCTTAAAGATATCATCTGTGATCAAAACCAGCACGATATTCGTGATAAGCACCCCGAAAAAAAACCATAGCAGCCACACTACGACTTTCTAACAGGTCCCGATTTTCCCGACTTTTGGGTCGTTGACCTGACCTGGAAGGTGAACCGATGACCTATGACCTTAAAATTGGGTATCATCGGATTTGGCTTCCTCTCGTGACGGGCAGCACGCTCGTTTTTTCCGCGAAGCTCTAGCTCGATCAGGGGCCAAACGCAAGGGGGGTCGTACCCCCCCCCCCCCCCCGATTGCCGTCGATGGACGCAAAATTGCCTGTGCCGGCGAGGGTTAAACAACAGCAATAGAAATAAAACACCTAAAGTAGGCAAGATGTAAAGATGAGATAATTTCAACATTGGAGGTGAGAGATGGCATATTTGAGCAATATAAAAAATATTATAGGGTTCAAAAATTAGTTTATCTTCATAGCATGGTCAAATGATAGTGAAATAAGGATAAATTATGCTAAGAACAGGGTTTTTTTACAAGCTGAAAATAATTTCAACATACTCATATTCTCATATTCTTCTGAACTCATCAGCATGTCAGATGTTTTCATTGTAGGTTAGGTGAGATGATGTCATTATGTCTAGAAGTATTTTGGAATACGAGACAGCTGAACAATTTGTAGGTAATGGAATTAACTAGGTGGCTTAAAATTAACACCAAGGCTAGTTGTGATTGGACTCCAATGCCTAAGGCAAGGGAAACCATTTTTCAAATAGTTTCATAATGCTTGGTGAGTATGCCTGCACTACCCTCCCACATCCAACACAATCTTTCTTCATCTGCTCATTGTTTAAGATAGGAAGATTAATAAAATATATATTAAAGCACAGAACAGCATATTATTGTAAATCCAACCAGTTTCAAAGACCTCACATCCTCTTTTGTTTGTTTGTTTGTTTGTTTGTTTGTTGGGGGTTAGGGGCGCGCCGACTGCGAGGTTATTTTGCAACCTCACGTCCTCATCAGGGATTGAATGATATAGAAATGAGACAAATTACATAAAAAAAGAGACAAATTACATATCTCAATAATTGCTTGAATATGTAACTAATCTGAATTCTGTTTATCTTGTAATCCCTGATGACAGGAATCAGGATGAGATGTCTTTGAAACCGGTTAGATTCAGAAAACATGCCGAATGCTGCTCTGTGCTTCAATATTGCATGCCCTTGTTGAAATTCTACACCAGAGCAATGGGCAGCAATACCAAAGGGTAAGATTATTCTATAAAAAGTAATTCTTAAGCTTTGAATGCGTGGTTGAATGGTTTTAGCCACGGTGACTATGTTTTAGCCTTCAAGCCTCAAAAGGATACCATTTGGCGCGGTTGTGACATTTGTGGTACAAGGCGAGGTGTACTTCCCCGCCTTGACCCTCGGGCCGAACCCATCAATCTTACCCGAGCTTGACCAGCTAGACGAGCCTGCGTACACAGGTCTTGATAAAATTCTAAAAAAAGCTAAATCCTTTCCAATATCGATATATCCCCTCTCCCACACCTACTGCTGCAATTTGCCGGGCGATGCGAAGGTTTGTGTTATTTTATGAATATTTTTAAAATACTGCAACTTTTGGTGACGCGCGTTTTCTAAAAAGCTGTCTATGCAATCAACCGAATCTTCACCTTTTATGGTTTTTCTGAGAATCTTTATGTTTAGGCAATGACTGTTACCGAACCCCACGCTTTTAAGGGGATATTGGACCGGTTTTGTTCACTTGGAGGTAGGGAGTTCGGAGGTAGTTGGTAGGTAGTTTCGGAGCATTGGGCTCGTCCTTAGCCCGCGCGGGGCTGGGGGGGGGGTAAATTTTACCCACCCTCGCGAATTTTTGCAATAACTCAAAAACGGCGGCACGCAGCGCCGCCAATCTTTCAGTACCTTTTCCTACATCAATTTGACACGTTCCCTGAAAATTTGAGCGAAATCCGTCGGAAAATTTTTGAGAAATTGACGTTTTAGTGACGTCATGTTCGCCATTTTCGCCTCAAAAACGGCAAAATTTCAAACGCCGCTAACATCTTCATTTTTAAAAGAATCAAGACGTAACAAAAAGGTTATACGTAATTCTACTTTGTCTATCAAATGGCTATCTCGGAAAATTTTGGATTTTGGCCATTTTTTCTAAAAAATTAAACTGACTTTTTTGGGAAAATAATTATAAAATCCAAAATTTTGAGTGTATCGAAAAAACCGGAATATATGTCAGAGATGTGGTCTATGTGCACCTACATACCAATTTTTAGAAGAATCGGTTCACAAATGTGGGAGTTATTAAAAATTTCATGACGTCACGACACACAAAAATTTTGAAAAATGAATTTTTTGGAAGTTCTAGACCTCGTACGGAAAAAATAGCACCATTCGATTCGCCGTGAAAACTGCATCAGATAGACACCTTTTAATTAGGCCTTCCAACTTCAACCAACTTCAAAATTTGACCTCACTTGACCTGACCTTGACCTGACCTCGACAGCTGAAATTCATCCAGATGTGGTCCATATCACCTATTGAGTGTGCCTATTGAATTCTATGAATAAAATAACCCATAAAACATGTGTCGCACATGCCCTTTTCTATATTTTGTTTTTGGTGACCTAACCTGACCTGACTTGACCTTGACCGTGACCTCTGAATGATATTGTAAGCAGCGAATATTGTCTTGGTAGCCTAAGAACACGTTTTGGGCAATCAGTCTCAGTCCATTCTTCGGCAACTACGGTGCAAGGCCGATACTGTAGAAACTTGCAATTTGTACCCTTGACCTGACCTTGACCTTGACCTCAAGGCTCAAACTTTAAATTAAGTACATGTTTTTAGTTGTTCGTGATGAGATCTTTCGATTGGCGTTTGAATTTTCCAAATCGGAACATTAGTTCGGGAGATAACAGGGGGGGGGGGGGGTAAAATTTACCCACCCCCAGCCCCGCGCGGGTTAGAAGTTTTATGGGTTTCAGCCATTTCAGCCGATTTGGTCCACTTTTTGTGAACAGATCGAACAAGTATCCAAAGTCGCTCCGTTTCAGACCACGGCGCGCCAAAGGATGAAGGTTTCATCGAAATTGGTTTTACAGTTGAGGAGCATGGGCTCGCCCGCAGCGGCCTTAGATGTTTTGAAATTTGAACCGATTTGGTCCACTTTAAGTGAACTGACAAAATCCATAAATTGCACCGTTTCAGAGCACGACACGTCAAAAGGTTTGATCGATTCCATGGAAAGCAGTTTAGCTGTTTTGGACTTTGGAGCTTGGGCTGCAACGGTTTTTAGGTGTTGGCAATAGACCGGTTTACATAGGGTTTGTTGCAAGCTTATATCTCCGTCCGTGATGTTGCAAAAGATGCCAATTGTGATGTATTATCCCCGAACGTTGAGTCTGGACATAGCTAACACACGGCACAGCACGAGCGCACACGGACACGTCACGCCATGGTCGTCACTCTCAGCCAACTGCCAGTCAGCTGGCCGCGCCAGTGGCTCACAACTCGGAGAGTGGCTACGGCATAACACCCTCCGCCCCTATAACACAACATGAAACATTTGAATCAACGAAAATAGCTGTTAGCACTTCTTGGCTAAACCAAACGCCGGCTGGCACGGATAGCTCCAGCCATCTCTACCGATATCTGACCGGCACGTTTATTGTCCGTTTTGACCGGCGCAGTGGCTCGGTCGGCTCAGGCCGCTCGTTTTGAGCCGCTCCGTCCCCCGCCTCGTGCTCTTGCTCGTTCGCTCTCTCCTCCTCTGCTCTCTCTTCCTGTCCTCCCTCTCCTCTCTCGCCGTCTCGGAGGGAGCCCCCACCGCGTGGGTGCTGGCGCTCTCGCGACGGTGCTGCAGGATTCGCCGGGAGCTGATACTGGTGCTGTTGCTGTGCTGCTGCCGGTTCTGTCTCCTGCTGCTCCGCTCGGCCGGCAGTCGGTTCTGTCGTCTGCTGCTGTGCTCGGCCGGCGGTGGGGAGCAGCTGGTCGGCGTGGCGCGCCCACACGGCCCCACCGACGTCCACCTGATACGATACGGGGCCCGTGACGCCGATCACCTGGCCGTGTCGCCAGCGCTGAGGTCCAGCATACGTCCGCGCCCACACGGCCTGACCGACCTGAAATTCGCGCGGGCGTCCCCCGGCCGCTTCTCTCTGGTCCTGCTGGCTGTCCGTTACGTCACGAATGATGCTGGGGTGCAGACGGTCCAGCCTGGTGCGGATCGGGCGTCCGAACATTACCTCCGCCGGCGGCCGACCTGTGACCGCGTGTGGAGCTGTCCGGTACGCGATCAGCACCTTCTGCACACGTTGATGCAGCGAGCCGCCGTCCCGTGCGGTCGCTCGGAGCCCGCTCTTCAACACACCGACAGCTCGCTCGGCCGCGCCGTTACTGGCTGGGTGGTACGGCGCCGTGCGGATCTGCCGAACGCCGTTGTTGGAGAGGAAGATCCCAAACTCCGTCGACGTGAACTGAGGTCCGTTATCGGTTACGACTTGGTCTGGGATTCCGAATCGCGCAAACAGCTCCCTGAGCTCCTCAACGGTCCGCCCGGCGGACGTCGTTGTCATGATGATGGCCTCCACCCACTTGGTGTGACTATCGCACACCACCATCAGGTACTTGTTTTCCACCGGCCCCGCGAAATCGACATGGATTCGCTGCCACGGCCCTGACGTGGGCTCCCACGGGTGGAGTGTCGCTCGGGGTGGAGCGCCGCGCTTCTCAGCGCATGAGTGGCAGCCCCGTGCCATGGCCTCCAGGTCGGCATCGAGACCGGGCCACCACAGGTACCGCCTCGCCAGCTGTTTCATTTTGGACCCACCAAGGTGTCCAGTGTGTAGCTCCTGTAGCACCCGCTCTCTGAGTCTCTGGGGTATCACCGCCCGTCCGCCCCAGAGGAGCACGCCCCGGTCGGTGGACAGCTCCGTCTCGCGCTGTCTGTAGGGGGCCAGCTCCGGCTCCGTCACTGATGGCCATCCGTGTCGGACATGCGACAGTACCCTGGCCAGCAGTGGGTCACGTCGGGTGCCGATTTCGAGCTCGCGGGCCGTCAGCGGCGGGCCCGCACCGTCCATGAACATCAGGTGGCAGTCCAGGCCGCTGGTGTCCGCCTCTGCTGCCGTCTGCTCCTGCTCACTATCCGGCAGCGCCATCCGAGACAGACTGTCAGCGAGAGCCATGTCTGCCGTTTTGCGCAGTTCCACGTCATACTGGTACGCCGCCAACTCCATGGCGATCCTCTGAAGACGTGCCGCTGAGAGGCCGGGCAGGTCGCGCTCGGGGCTGAGTATCCGTGACAGAGCCCTGTTGTCCACGGTGAGTGTGAATCTCCTCCCGAACAGGAATCGATGGAACCGTCTGAGTCCATACTGCACACCGGTCGCTTCCTTCTCAACCTCTGCGTAGCGCCTCTCAGTCGGTGTCAGCGTCCTCGACGCAAACATGATTGGTCGCTCCGTGCCGTCGGACATCTGATGCAGAAGGGTCGCGCCGACCCCCGTGGAGCTGGCGTCCGTGACCAGCTTCAGCGGCAGGCTGGGGTCGTACCTAACCAGCACGCGCCCGCTGGCCAGCAGCCGCTTCACTGTAGCGACCGCAGCGGAGCACTGCGGCGTCCACCGCCACGGTGTGCCGCGCTTGAGCAGAGCGTACAGAGGCGCGAGCGTCGTGGCGAGCCCCGGCAGGAGGCGGCTGTAGTAGTTCACCGATCCCAGTAGGGATCGGAGCTGCTGTACGTCTCGCGGCTCCGGCGCGTCCAGGAGCGCCGTTGTGCCGTCCTCCTCCGGTCTGATGCTGTCTGCAGTGATCCTCCACCCCAGGAACGATACTTCCCTGGCCAGGAACACGCACTTGGACCGCTCCAGTCTCAGCCCGTTGCGTTCCATTCGATCCAGCGCCCGATCCAGGCGCCTCAGCAGCTCCTGTTCGCTGTCGGCTGCGATCAAGCAGTCGTCCATGTAGCACACGCAGCCGTCCAGTCCCTCCAGGATCTTGTCCATAGCCTGCTGGAACAGGAAACCGCAGTTAGCGATTCCGTACGGCATTCGAATCATTCTGAACGATCCGCGGTGTGTCGTCACGGTGGTGAGGTCACGTGACTCCTGGTCCAGCTCCATGTGTTCGTACGCCCGACGGATGTCCAGTTTGGCGAACACTCGGCCCTTGATGTTCGCGAACAGGTCCTCCGGCGCCGGGAGCGGGTACGGCGTCACCATGAGCTGCGGGTTCACAGTTAGACTGTAGTTGGCGCACAGTCTGACCTGACCGGTCGGCTTCAGCACCGGCACCAGCGGCGTTCCCCAGCCGGTGGGCGCCTGCTCCGAGTCGGTCTTCTCCGCGATTCCCTCGCGAACCCAGCGCTCCAGCTCTCTGTCGACCAGGGGTAGGAGCGCGTACGGCACCGGCCTAGCCTTCTTGTACACTGGGCGAGCGCCGGGCTTCAGTGCCAGGTGGGCCTTCACAGTCATTTTGCCCACACCGTCCGCGAACACTGACTCGTGCTTCCTGATGACGGTCTCCGGCGTCAGTCTCGGATCTGCCTCCGAGGGACCGCTGACCATGTGTACCGCTCGCCAGTCCAACTGCAGCTGGCGGAGCCAGTCACGTCCCAGCAGCGGTGTCGTTTCCGGCCGGTCACAGATGACCAGGCGCAGGGACCGAGTCTGACCTGCGTGCTCGACTTGCACGGTCGTTTCTCCACGGAGAGGCACCAGTTGTCCCGTGAATGTCTGCAGTCTCAGGTCTGACGCTCGCACGCACATTCCCGGTATCTTTGTGTCCCTGCCGACAATCGTCACTGGTGAGCCGGTGTCGACTAGCATCCTGATTTCTCGCCCGTTTATCCGTACTGAGACGAGAGGAAGGTCCGCTCTTTCACCCCGCATGTCAATCTTCAGGACACCGCTCTCCAGTTGGTTGTCCTCCAGCCACCGTCCGCCGTCTTCTGTCAGGTGATCCACAGCGCGCTCCGGGCACCTCCGCTGCAGGTGAGTGTGGGAGCCACACCGGTAGCAGCGCCGGATCGCCGTCTGGCGTGTACTCTGGTCCTGCCGTGGTTGACTGGCTCGGCCCCGACGTCCCGACTGAGATGCGGCCTGGTTCCGCCGGTACTCTCCGGGCGGCGGGCCGTCCCCGTCTGCGAGCTGGCGAGGACTGCTGCCCGCGTGCTGGTGCGTGCTGCTCCTGCCACCACCGCCGCGCCCCCGCTGGAGAGTCGGGCAGTCTCTCTTCCAGTGCTGCTGCGACCCGCAGTTAAAGCACTGTCCTCGTCGAGGCTGGGCTGACCTGCCCGCCATTGCCACAGCGTTCACCATCGGCTCCACACTGCCGGGCGCCGTAACTGCCGGCGCCGACTGGCCTCCTCCCACCTGGGCGCACAGCTGCCGCATGTCTCTGTAGGCCCGTGCGGCTCGGCGAACGTTTTCCAGAGTGAGCTCCTCTCCCCTGCTCGCCGTCTCTTGGAGGAGCTTTTCCCGCAGTCCTGGGCTGCTGCCGACTACACACCGGTCTCGTAGTTCACGGTCCGTTTCTGCAGCCGTGTAGCCGCAGCGCAGCGCTTGGACGCGCAGCCGCCCGAGGAACTGCTCGAAATCTTCGTCCGTTCGCATTGTCATTTGATGGAACTCGGCTCTCTCCGTCACAGTGTTCCGGACTGGGGCCAGGTACGTAGTCAACTTTTCCTTCAACTTCTCGAACTCATTTCCCTCCCCCGCCGGCTCGGGCAGGGCCTCGCTGAGGTCCGCTATATCGGGCCCCACGAGGTACTGTAGCAGCGCGCATTTCCGCTCCGTTTCTCTGACATTGGCCGCGATCAGGTAACGCTCCACATTCCGTAGCCATTTTTCGAAGTCTTCTCCCGGTCGGTATTGTCCTACCGCCGACAGCTGCATTCCTGGCAGCTCCATGGCTGTTGTCCGGTGGAGCTCCCGCGATAGGTCCGCTGTAGCCGATCGGTCCGCTGAGTACCCTTGATCGGTCCGCTCAGCCCCCTCGATCGGTCCGCTCAGCCCCCTCGGTCGGTCCGCTGAAGCCTCCTCGATCGGTCCGCTGTAGCCTCCTCGATCGGTCCGCTGCAGCCCCCTCGATCGGTCCGCTACAGCCCCCTCGATCGGTCCGCTAGTCTCCGCCCGCGGCCGGTCCGCCGGTTCGCTGCAGCGCCGCCGAGCCGGGCGACAAAAGGTGTAGTTTGAGAACCTCTGGCGTCGAACCGCCAGGCACCGCCTCAAACCGCCTCAAACCAGATTCAGCACCGCCCGCAGAATCTCTGGCTCACTGCCAATCGCTACGATGGGCACAGCCGGGGCTTGCCAGCGACCGACCAATCACAAGCCGCGACACATCCGAGGCGTTGTACGCCTGATCCAGTCTGAGTCCCGAAGGCCAAAATTCCCGAGCCAACCACTCTGTGCTCCATCTTGAAAGTTATGCCATGCCGAGCTCCAATCTGATCTTCGTCGCCAAGTGTGATGTATTATCCCCGAACGTTGAGTCTGGACATAGCTAACACACGGCACAGCACGAGCGCACACGGACACGTCACGCCATGGTCGTCACTCTCAGCCAACTGCCAGTCAGCTGGCCGCGCCAGTGGCTCACAACTCGGAGAGTGGCTACGGCATAACACCAATGGTGCTTAACAATTTACAAAATGACCCCTCTAAATATTTGAAGACCACTGCATCGAAATTATCGCCAAATTAACGAGCTAGAGCCTCGTCAAAAATGCTATGTAAACCGGGTTAATGATTTGTGTTTTGAACCAATTTAGCCCGCCTAGAGAATATGAAAAATGGTACCATTTCAAGCTGCGGCGCGTTGAAAAACTGATATTTGATTGTGATTGGTCCAGTCGTTTTTCATTATTGGTTCGTTTGCTATTCTTGTCTGTTTTTTAGACGCCCTTTTTCTAGGTCAAACTTGGCAAATATAGTTGTTATATGTGGAATATTTTGTTAGAATATTCTGTCTACTTTACGCCGATGATACAGTTGTGCTTGCCGAATCACCAGCAGAGTTACAGGCAGCATTAGACGCTGTGCATAGCTACTGCCAAGAGTGGCAATTACAGGTCAATACTGCAAAAACCAAAGTCATTATATTCTCAAGAGGCAGGGTAAGAAAGGCGCCAACTTTCCATCTCGGAGGCGAGGCACTCGAAATAGTCCCTGAGTACAACTATCTGGGGACCATGTTCTCGTCAAATGGCTCAATGAAGGCTGCTGTCCTCAAACAGGTGGCACTGGCTAATCGAGCCCTTTTTAAAGTATGTTCGATGTCAGCAGCTCTTCATCTTCCTCTGAATACTTGCTGCGAATTATTTGATAAGATGGTGGTTCCGGTTTTATTGTATGGATGCGAAATTTGGGGACTAGATCATGTGCAACATTTGGAAAACTTTCACAAGAAATTCATAAAACATCTGTTACAGATCAGCAAGTACTCAGCAAATTGCATGGCATATGGAGAACTCGGGAGAATACCCCTGAAGGTTATAATTAAGAAAAGGGTCATTGGCTTCTGGCTAAGGTTAAAAAATGGGAGCACGCGCAAACTTTCTCGGATATTGATGGAATTGCAGTTAAAAAAGCTTCAAAATTCAGACTTCAATCCACACTGGCTGTCTAGCGTGAAAAGTATTCTGGACAACGCAGGGCTTGGGAATTACTGGCTTCAGGACCCTGTCAATAACGCCGAGGTGATAATGACCCTCGAAACGCGCCTTGTCGACATAGAGACACAAACATGGGCGGAATCTGTGCATACGAACTCTCTGTGCATAAATTATCGAATTTTTAAAGAATCTCTTAGATTTGAACCGTACTTAACAATTTTAGGACTGAAAGGCCGACGTACAATCTCTCGGTTCCGCTGTGGCAACCATAATCTGCCAATCACCGAAAGCAGACGCCAACATAACTCAACCTGGAAAGCATGTCAAAAGTGCTCAAGCAACAAGCCTGGTGATGAATTTCATTACGTTTTGGAATGCCCGGCCTTCAAAGATCAGCGGACATCTCTGCTCCCGCCCTACTATTGGAAATATCCCGACACAACTAAATTTAAGGCTCTCTTCTCGACAAACAAGAAGACACTTCTTCACCGCCTATCTAGGCTTATCCAGCACATCACCGATGCCTTTCCATAAATCTGCAGCCTCAAGTGCCCCCCCCCCCCCAGCCCATCTCCCTTCTCTCAGACTCTACCCCCCCCCCCAACCCCCAACATGTCGGATTGCGATGTAATCAAAGGTATGTGTATTTGTTTTTGTGTGTGTATGCGTGTGTATGCGCTCATGTGTAGCACTAGTACTGACAAATGTACAAATAGTGGGAGTCGCTAACTACGCTAACTATGCATGTCCAGCTGCGCCTGGACACGTGTATGAAGCCTGTGTGTATTGTGTACACATTATGCATATTTGAGCCAAGTTCCCATACCCCCAGTGGGGTCGTGGATAAATACATTCATTCATTCATTCAGTTAGTATATTTTTGGTTTATTTTCAGTTGATCCTAAATTCTCAGTTTATTTATATTTCCTGCTATACTTTCATACTATATTTCCAACTTCAATATCACCAATTTTCGTTAATTTTTAATTATTTTTTTTTTCTCCTGCCAAACTATTTGCAATCATCACATAAATTTGAAATCTTTTAAGGAAAAACTTTGCAAAAAAATGAACAAAATTGTCATTTCAAACTAGCATAAACCAGCATGACAGCCATGCGCCACTATCGTCTTATTTATTTTCCAGCGTGGTCGAGTTCTTTTCTAAGCTGGGAATGGCCGGCTAGAGTAGCTGTATTCGTGCCTTATGGACCGTCGGATTTTAAAGTGTTTTAAAAATGTCCCGGCGAAAGAATTCTGAGTCCATAGGCAATGATAGTGAATTCGGAGACAACTATGTCGAAGAACCGGACTTCAGCGACCCGGAGGACTTCGTAGACGACATTGCTGAAGAGGGTGTGTTTCCGATCGTCAACGATTTTAACCGGCATTGTTGGTTTTATGAATGTGATATGATTGCCTTTTTAATGATATTCTACTTAATATTCTCTTTATGTCATGAATGAATAGCTCAGCATGCAATTTTATTGTGCTTCACTTCTCCAGCATTGCAAGGTAGTGCATAATGCCGACAGCATATGGTTGACAGCTATTGGCAGATTATGTGGGGATGTGCCCCTTACAGTATCTATTCAAAATTTAGGTGCTCTTGTTTTCCTATTTAATAGGAAAATTAGGAATCAAAGCAATATTTTGCATGGCAATGCATAAGAAAGTGAAATCCATTAAGGTTTTGGATAGGTCGAAGAGAAAGCTTTTAGAAGTTCCTAGGTAGCCATGACTATTGCTGCATTTGTTTCTGCTCTTCTGGGTCCTCCAATGTCTGTTATTTGCCCCCCCCCCTCCCATAGGGGGTGAAATAGCCGGTATTTATTTACTTTAGGTCCGCAAAAGAGAGGGGTAAATGAAAGTCATTCACACGATACTCTAAGACCTCCTGATTTCATTTCTGATACTTATTCTTCTAGAAACCAATTTAAAAGCACCAGTACACTAGTATCACCAGTATCACCACCAACGGCCCCACCTCCGACCGGAACTGCACGTGTCAAAAGACCGTCTGCGCGGCGCACCCGCTACAAAGGGTTCAACCAAGGTTGAGCGAAATTACGGATGATAATAAATTGTACGGAAAGTGACGTCAAAATAATCGTGGCGGTGCGGTGCAGTGCCGAAGGCAATGCCTTAGGAGAGATTACAGGCAATGGTAAGTCAAATATTTTTAGGTTAAGTGGTTGTGTATCCTGATGCATAACCACTTAACCCAAAAAATATTTGACTTACCATTGCTTGCAATCTATTCATGCAAGTCACTTTTTCCTTTTCCCCCAGTAGGCAAACATCAGTAGGTCAGGTTAGGTAAGGTTTGGTTATGTTCTGATCATTTTCTCACGCTCTATTACCTTTGCTAAATATTTTCTCTTTTTTATTCACTGTTTTTCTTGTGCTTTGGTATTATGACGTCATTTTCATAACGTCGAAAACTAATGAATATTCGCATCATTTTTTTCTTTTATAGGGCAGCGTCGTATGTTTCGTTTTTGTCGCGGAAGCGTGCTTTCTTCAGTGTGTATTGGTATTGTGCAGCAGTGCGGTGTAATGTGCTGGGGTTTTAGTATCTTATTTTACATTTTTGATGCATTTAAGCATCATATCTGAATTCAGGACATTAAATAGCGTAAGAATGTGCATTATTTTTGTTAAAACAATATTGTGGACCTAAAGTAAATATTTACCAAATAGCCCCCTGTCCTCTTCTGTGGATATCTCCTAAATGACAGAAGATATTGTTAGGTACCAAACTTTCAGGGCTCTTCAGAGCATCAATTTTACACATTCTGACCAAAAACTTCCTAGAGGCTATTCCAGAGGCATAATTTTTTGGACTGTAATTGCCACACCCCATGTGGATTGTCCATGATTGTAATACATACAATACATACATACATACACATTGGTTGGCCACTAATGAGGTCAGAAATCAGAATGATATCATGTCCTGCCATTTCTGACCCCAAAAGATTTTGCAGGAGGAGCTGCCAGGCTTACAGCTTGAAAGTTCAGAAAAAAATTAACCTTCGCCCCAGTGGGGGGGGGGGCATATGTTACCACCCTGTCGCGTTTTTTGCGTGTGAATAAAAAACCGCGGCGCGTAGCGCCGCGCCGCTTGGGGTAGCTTTTGGTACATCAATTTTGGACAATGTGTGAAATTTTTGACCCCAGGTCATGTCAGGTCAGGTCACCAGGTCAAGTTAACTGACCAAGCCTAAAAAAAAGTTTGCAATCATGTCCAGCCTGCAGTGTTTGTCAGAAAGGTTTTAAACTTGGTGGATTGTATGCTGTTATGGGCGCCTACAATTTGTATTCTCGGATTTTTATATCCGTGACCTAAGGTCAGGTCAGTGGCGTGACCTTTCCATTACAAGTCAATGGAGAAAAATGAAAATGCCTCTAGATCCGTGTGTACGCATCGGAACAGTCCAAATATTTCAGAATCACAATGATTTAGTCCACTCGTGATGACCAAGGTGTCATTTTTGCTGATAGCCTCTAGACAGGTCATCCGAGGTCACTTGAGGCTACAAACAGTTTTTTGCCAATAACTCGCGATTGGAAAGAGATAGAACGCTGGGGATGGTCTCATTGTGTTTGTCTTGTTGAGACGCATCGACTGATATGCAACATGACCTTTTCCGGTAAGGTCATGACCTTGACCTGAGGTCAAATTTTCAAGTTGACCTTTCAAGGTCAAAGTATAGTTCATTCGACGCGTGTCGGCAAGGGGAACACGATTCTGGCAATAGAAATGTCGTGGCGTTTTGTAGTCGAAAGTTATTGTCGAAAAACACTTTTCGTAAAAACAGCTATTTTTGGAGTTTTTGCCCTCTGGAGGCTAAACCGTTGACCTGAGGTCAATATTGATAATGACCTTTTCAAAAGAAGAGTTCAAAAGCTATCGATTGCTTTTCCATGCGTTTTTTTCTAGCTACCATAGTTCCTGAGATAGCGGCATGTTTTCTGAAAAATATAATGACAATTAGCAAATTTTGACCTTTGATGACCTCTGGTGATCCCAATATTGCTCTAAGGTGAAAAATGACTGAAATACTTTCAAACGTACGCATTGAGAGCTATCGACTGCTTTTTACCGCGTCTTTCTAGCCCTCTTAGTTTTTGAGTTAGAGGTGGGTGGTAACATATGCCCCCCCCCCCCCCCCACTAGGGCGAAGTTGGCTGAGACCGCCACTGGGGCGCGGGTTAACATAAAAGGTGTAGAACTAACAGGGCTATAAAACTGCTATCTCAGATTTATGAATTTCCGGATTTTGATCCACAAAAAAACTAAAAAGTAATCTTTTGGATATTATAGCCAAAAAGTTTTTTTTCAAAAATCAAAGAAATGGAATATATGTGATATTCCCTATGGTCTTCTATCCACATACCAAATTTGAGTTTGATACCTCTTTTGGCCAACTTATAGCCAAAAAAAGTTCAAAATTGATTATGTCAAATTTTCGAATTCATTTTTAGCAATTCTACACCACCTAGCGCAAAATGAAGACCATCACTAGACTCCCCATGATGAGCTGCATCAAATTGATACCCATTTTATGCAAAAATATCAACTTTGAAATTTGACCTAAGTTGACCTGACCTTGACCTGACCCTTACCTGGACATAACCTTAACTGTCCCTGAAAGGTTGCCTGACCCACTTAATTGCATTTGTGATGTAAAATGGACCATAAAACATGCATCACACGACACTGTCATATTGTGACACTGTCATATAGTGAGACATGTTGTGACTGTGACTGTGACTAGCCCTTGTTGCAGAGGTTGTCCCATGTAGTCTCAATGCTGCTACAGAGCAATATTGTTGATGATATTTCTGTAGTTTCTTAGTAGTTATGCCTGATAGATAAAGTGGAGTGAAATGACTGATTACTTGAATGACTTTGTTAGTACCTAAAAAATGCTGACATGGCTGCAATAGATGTATTTTTGTGTAGTAACATGTTAAACCCTCGCCCGCACATGTCATTTTTCCATCCTAGAACGCACATGGGGGGGGGGGGTTGCCACCCCCTGCAGCATTTCGTTCCTGTTGGAGATAGAGCTTCGCGGTAAAGACCAAAAAGATTCTTTGGGAAGAGACGAATCCAATGATGCCCAATTTTACCTTCTCAGGTCAGTCATTGACCTTCCAGGTCAGGTCAAACTAAAAATGTCGCTGTTTTGGGTCACCGTTGGATATCAAGTGCGCTGCTTAACATATACTGATGGCGATGCCGTTTTCTGGTGCCAAGCCAGCTAGAACCTCTTTTTCACAATACCCGACCAGATTTTTGCTGCTGAGGTCATTTCAGGTCAAGTTAGGTCAAGGTCAATTATATGTGTTTGTATGTATGTGTGTGTCTGTGTGTATACTGATGTGTGCACCGATTGTTTATGTGTCCATATTACATGAAATCATGATCTGAGAAGCTTTTACCAAAAATGCAGTCAAAAAACTTCACGAAAGTAAATTCAGCCTGCCAAAAACGCAATTATTTTAGATGACCTAGGTTGACCTTGACCCTGACCTTGACATCTGTACATCGTCGAACAACATGCTCCATGATAGGTGGGAGGTAAGACTGGCAAAAAAGGCCGAAATCAAGGTGTCAAAAGCTCACAAGGCCCATAGCCAACGCCAGATGTTGAGAATTGGTCATTTGGGTCATGACATGACCTGAAAAACAAGGTCATATCTCCGAAACCAAAAAGCACAGAAATTTGAAATTTTCAGTGGACATCAAGAAAGGATAGAGGAGCAGCTATACAAAAAATCAGGCTTCTAGCTCTAAAAATGTTGAGTGCAGAGCAGAAAGACTACCTGGGGGGGGGGGGGTGGTAACCCCCCCATGTGCGGGCGAGGGTTAAAGCAGGGATGCGGAGCCGTGGAAATTTCAGACGGCTCCGGCTCCGGATAAAAAATCGGCTCCGGCTCCGGGTGAAATGCCATGGCGGCTCCGGCTCCGGCTCCTGCTCCGAGTAAAATGGTCCGGCTCCGGCGGCTCCGGCTCCGGCTCCAATACTCAGTACATCCCCTATGCAATTGAATACGGGTGGAAGAAAAAAGACGATGGGATTGGTCACGTTGCTTCTGTATTTGCATAACAAGGGTATTTTCATATTTAAATACCACATGTTTTACTGCCTTGAACTGTCAAACCGAACTAGGTCAATAATTTTTTCCTCTTAAAAAAAGGAGCCGGAGTCGCCCCCTTTTTTTGACGGCTCCGGCTCCGGCTCCGGGCTATATTGTTTCACGGCTCTAGCTCCGGCTCCGGGTAAAATATGCCGGCTCCGGCGACTCCGGCTCCAGCTCCGGCTCTGGCACCGCACCCCTGGTTTAAAGCAAATTAAAACTTTTTAGGATTAAATTGTGGAGGTTCCACATTCCATAAATCATGAACACAGGAGAGTGAAAGATCGAATGCATTACTTATGTCATGTGTTACATTTTTAGAAAAATAGGTATCTACTTCACTCCTAGTCAACTTGACACGTTTGGCATGACCACACAATGAAAAAACATATGCTCAGTTTTTAACTGGCTCATTCTGACCATGAACATAATCATTGTCTGTTTCAGAGCTTCTAGGAGATATCCTGCAACACAAGCCAAAAGAAACTGGAGGATTTGACTCTATCATTGTTGTAGATGGAATCCCACAGGTGGCCAAAGAAGAGAAAAAGTAAGCAATCATTCTATCGATAATGTCTTAGTGTGTCTTACTTTGTTATGAGGCTTGCTTATATGATTTGTAACCTGTGTCCATCTGCAGTTGTTCAATTTCATTGATACTCATTGATTTTTATATATTGCTAAATGGTTAATCAATAGTCATGAAATGTGATCTAAACCATTAGATTATGAAAAACATTTATGAAAACTTTACATTCCAGGAAAAGTCTACCATACTTAAGTGACACAATATTATTTGCTGAATAGAATTTCAAATAGGTACCTTTTATATAAAATCAGTTTATTCATTTGCTTCAGTAGGAAGCCATATTGCCACCTCAGTGGTGGCTCATTGTTAGAGTATCTGACCAGCTCCACTTGTACCTAACATAGGTCAGTTTTGTCTTTTTGAATGTCTTTTTAACATGTCAAAGCTTACAATGAGCTAGTACCTATACCATCATTTTGGTTGACCTGCCCATTGCCTAAGAAGTTGATAAAAGAATGGAATCATGCCAGCATTCATAGGGTGCAAAGCTGTCTTAAATTTTGGAACAAATGTTTTTCAAGAAAGTGTCGAAAAATTCAATCTTGTACCAGTTAAAATGTTTGCTAAAATTTCCCAAAAGTTTACAGCCACTATAGCTGCAGTCAGATACCTTGTTTCATTATCATTCTTGACCCTGTTCCTATTCTTGTGTTGCACATGATATTGTTACCTATGTTATATGACATGTATTTTTGCCTGCACTTAATTATATGTAATTACGAAGCATAACTGATTGCTGTTTCATCGTGCAGGCCTGGGTCTGATCAGAAAACCAGGCTAGAAAAGCTACAGAACATCATTAAGAAGCTGTACAACAGTTACGGCACCATCACCAACGAGTACTGGCCGATTGATGCCAACAACAAGACAAAAGGGTAAGGAGCCAGTGACACAACGCTTTTTTATTTGCATTTTATCATTTTACATTTGGAAATATTCCAATCCTGTTAGAACATTTTTTTATGCGATATGTGCATCAGCCATTCTTGGCTTTGTTATCCCACTTAAATTTTCTTTTGATGCATATTTTTTTCTTTTTGATGACACTGAGCTGGGTGTGGGTCAACTATCGTCATCTGACTAATGGATGTTTTCCTCAGCTATGTGTTCTTTGAATACAAGAGGCCGGAGCAAGCGGCTGAGGCCGTCAAGGCAACAAACGGACACAAGCTGGACAAGACGCACACCTTTGTTGTCAACCTCTTCACCGATTTCGAGAAGTAAGGACACCGGCTGAACTGTCAAGTCTATAGAGTTTTATTGATTCCTGTAAAGTTATTTTGAAAGCTGTAATAGTTATAAGGAATGTACCTGCCTCGCTGTGTAGTGCGTATTTATGAATGCAAATGTAATGTCAAGCAGTGCGATCCAAATGAATAATTATGGAGTGCAATGATATATCACAGACCTTGGATTGTGCACCGTACTGGTCTTGGACTGCTGATGATACCGCGGGTGTGGTGCGCGCGCAGGTACGCCAACATCTCTGAGACGTGGCAGCCGCCGGAGCCGCAGCCCTACCCGGACCTCGGCAACCTGCACTACTTCCTGGAGGTAGGTCCGGCCCGGCGCGGGCTGAGCTCGGCTGTGGGACCGCGGCCGGCGCGCCGTGACCTGCTCCGTCCTGGCCGAGAGGTCGCAGCGACGCTCCTCGTGCCGCTATAGCTGACAGTGGTTTGAGATTGTAAACGGTTTCGAGTGTTCAGGTCTGTAATAAGGGTCGAGAGTAGCAGAGTGTGCAAGTAGCGCTGATATACTTGGCCCGTACTGTCACACTACAGCAGTCTGCTGCCCCTGCTGCCACTTCACTCCCGGCTGCAGCTAACACCGCCACCCTACCCGTCCGCTAACACGTCTGCTGCTACCCGTCGCCAGGAGCCGGATTGTTTCAACCAGTACGCGGTGCTGTCGGACGCCGGCGGCTCGACGGCCATCTATTCCAACTCGCTGCCGGAGCCGACGCTGATTGAGGAGCGCAAGGTGAGACATCGACAGCCCGACCGGGTGTGTGTACGGCGCGATATACGATATGGGTAGAGTGCCTGTCGAGGTCGGCGTACTAACGTTTGGTAAGGTGTATTTGCTTACAGCTGCATGTGCCATTGTCATTTCTTTAGTATTTAGTGTTCTTTTACTGGCAGCTCACGAAAACGGCGAGGTATGGTGATAGAACCCGTTTTGCACACGCATACTGCTGGTCAGACCGACTGCAGGTCTGTTCAGAATCTGGTGTGCTACACTGAAACCGGCACCAAATCAGAGACCCGGCCCGGATCGTGGGCCGGGTGTCAGGAAAGGGCTCGGGACATGAACGTATATCGCTACACGCGGTAGTGAGAACGTTAGCTGTTACCTGTAACTTGTTTTCAAAGTGGTGTTCATACATAACTGATAACTTAATATGCCTAGGCTCAGATTATGAGCGGTGAGAGACCCTATCTCCCTCCCGATGACGTTTTGGACGGTCTTTTCGATCGAGTTGTCTCACCTTGTGCCGTCGTGCCACCCCCAGCTCTGGACGGAGAAGTACATCAAGTGGTCGCCGCTGGGCACCTACCTGGCCACACTGCACGGCAAGGGCGTGGCGCTCTGGGGCGGGGAAAAGTTCGGACAGATCAAACGCTTCTCGCACCCGGGCGTCGAGTTCATCGACTTTTCACCGTGTGAAAAGTGAGTACAAACGTGTGAATCAATGATAAACAGTAGAGACGGCGAATTTCTCCAGTCAATAATACCTGCAAACCAGTTTTTCATTTTAGTCTTAGTTGGACTTTTTATGATGAAGTAGTTATCCAGTTCCTCGTTATGATATGGGCTCGCGATTTGGTCGTGGTTGTTTTGTGCGAGTCTTTAGTTAAGTGATCGTTCCGACGTTTGTATGTCCCTTCTGACAAATGACCGGGCACATCCTCTGCTCTCTGGCACTCCTTCGCGCTACCTCGGCTCTCTCAGTGTCGAGCCCACCCCGCCGTTCGCTGCCTGCCTTACCTCCGTCCACCATCTGTAGCTGACCGAGCCCTCGGTGCTCCCATTAGGTACCTGGTGACGTTCTCGCCGATGGCCGAGAGCCACGGCCAGCCGGGCGCGCACGCTATCGTCGTCTGGGAGGTGCTCACCGGCCAGGAGAAGCGCTCCTTCTCCGCCGACCGGACCGCTGCCGTGTGGCCCGCTCTCCGCTGGAGTCACAACGACAAGTACTTTGCCCGCCTGCAGCGCGTGGAGCGAAAGGACGGCCCTGTGGAGACCATCAGCATCTACGAGACGCCGGTCAGTCGGGATGGCGAGAGGCTGTTTGGGTCACTGGACGGGCTATGGACGACTGGGCGGGTTCCTGTGATAAGCATAATATAGCGGAAGGCTTTTTGGGTGTATTATATTTTGTCGAGTCGGGTTCTGTGTCTGGTAGGCTATTTGACTGTTGTGCTTTATTTGTTTTGCTTGGTTGATTGTTTTTTAGCTCCCCCAGTGCACACACACATACTGCTGGTCAGACCGACTGCAGGTCTGTTCAGAATCTGATGTGCTACACTAAAACCGGCACCAAATCAGAGACCCTGCCCGGATCGTGGGCCGGGTGTCAGGAAAGGGCTCGGGACAACGTTAAAAAAAAACATGATACTATCATAGACTACTTTAGTTAAGGACTTGTCAATGATTGATTAGATATGATATTAGACTCATTTACCTAGCTCTCTACCTAACCTAACTCCTAACTCTACCTGACTCTAACTCTACCTGGCCCTAACTCTGTCCGTCGGTGGTTGTACAGTCATGCGGTCTGCTGGACAAGAAGAGTCTGGAGGTGCCCGGAGTGCGCGACTTTAGCTGGTCGCCGTCGGACACCATCATCTCGTACTGGGTGCCCGAGGTCAACTATGGCGAGACGCCCGCGCGCGTCACACTGCTCAAAATACCCAGGTCAGTCGACGGTCGGCGGGATGGCCCGGAGAATGATGACGAGGATGGCTAACGGCACATAGATCTATGGCGCACTCAATGCGTTGTTAATGCATTTTTATGACTTGATGCCGATTTGGATCATCATTGCCTTCGTTGGCGTGGACAATTTTGAATTCAGCGTTCATACCCACAGGTTTTGGCAAACGGTAGCTCTCAAGTGGCGCAGGAATGAGCTTCGTCGATGACGTTTTGTACATTGACTCCACATCAGATGTGGAACGCGTCTCAGCTTCTCTGACAGTTTGAACTCCACACAGTGTGTGCAATGCTCCATAACAATGTGTTCTGCATTCTGACGTTCCGTCTCGGTCTGTTTCAGCCGAGAGGTGATCCGCACCAAGAACCTGTTCTCCGTGATCGACCTGAAGATGCACTGGCAGAGCTCCGGCGAACACCTCTGCGTCAAGGTGGACAGGTACAACCGCGCCAAAAAGGAAAAGGACGACACCATCAAATACGTGGTACGTGTCGTAAGGGGGACGGTGCACGTTGCTACATCGTGTCTCTACAAGGTTAATTTGATCGTGTGAAAACTGAAGACTAATAATTCGTAATGTCGATTCCATTGGTAAGACGTCGTAAACATTGATAGATTTTATGTCAGCCTGACTGCATTGATTTACTATTTGGCTGCATTCACGCGTTGTGTAACTGCGTTGATAACGCTATTTGACCGTTTTGGTACGCTATTTGTCTGCATTGTTAATCGGTAAGGATCAGTCTGCGTCACTTGGCACGCTGCCGCCTCCGGTCTGACACGGTCGCTATTTTCACTCCGCCAGGGCGTGCACTACAACTTCGAGATCTTCCACCTGCGGGAGAAGAACGTGCCCGTGGACTCGATGGAGATCAAGGACAAGATCATGGCGTTCGCCTGGGAGCCGGTGGGCTCCAAGTTCGCCATCGTCACGTCGGTCAGCAACACGTCCAACAACGTCAGCTTCTACTGCGTCAAGAGCGGCACGGAGCCGGCGTTGCTCAGTGAGTCAGATGGCGTCTGTCGTCCGCTCTCGGCTACCCAATTACACTGCTAAGGCGCTTAGACTTATGCTGTGATATACACCAGATTCATGGATCGATAGTGAATGATGGTGGAAATGTGACATGGTGAGATATGTCGTATGAGTGCATGATATAAATTATTGCAAGACGTTACTTGTATCCGCTTGGTTGTGACTTGCGAGCAGCTACCGCCACGCATTATGCTGTAAATCTGATTGCTCCCTGATTCTCACCGACTTCACTCGTCGTCCAACAGAGACGCTCGAGAAGAAGGCGTGCAACCACCTGTTCTGGTCGCCGCGCGGACAGCACATCATCCTGGCCGGTCTGCTCAACCTGAACGGCGTCTTCGAGTTTGTCGACACCAAGTGAGTGGTGCGGCGGGGGCGGGAGCCGTCCGCACAGTGTGGGAGCGGGTGGCGGGCGCACCGTGTAGCATGGCAGTCCGCGTGGCTCGTTTTGTATGAAAGTGTCTTATCAGTTAAAGCCTACCGTCGTGGTCTGATGGAGAGCCAGTTGGTTTCGTTTTTTTTTCTGATAAGGTTATCTCACCATTACGTCTAATGTTTGACTTAAGATAGGCATGTGATGTTCACGTATCGAAGTGGAGTGTCAGACAGTCACACAAGGCTGCTTGAAATGGATATTCCTATTTTTTCCTTCCATTTCGAAAGTTAATGTATGTATATAATGTGAGTAATCATGCTGTCTATTCGGGTAGACCGGTGGATGTTTTATTCGTTTTGTCTGCTTGCATTCAATTTATCATGCGTGTTTCCGAGTATCGTTATTCTTTTTTCGACCATTAAATGGCTTCATATTTTTTCACTCGATGTTCGACTCCTATCGTAGTAATCGAATAGGGGGTGCACACACATACTGCTGGCCAGACCGACTGCATGTCTGTTCAGAATCTGGTGTGCTACACTAAAACCGGCACCAAATCAGAGACCCGGCCGGGATCGTGGGCCGGGTGTCAGGAAAGGGCTCGGGACAACGTTTAAAATGCGTGCATATTTAAATTTAGGTAGCACTGCCAAGCCAACTGGTTAGCATTTGTTTTCCTTATGGGTACTGTATTTTATGTGCGTATGTTCTTGGCCATTAACATTTATACTTTGGAATTTTTGGTTTTATTTTTCGAAAGCGAAGAGAAGAGCTGTGTAAGTAATCGTCACCAAAAATCCTTACGTCATACATATAAGTTATATAATATGTATGCCATACATACGGTATATTGCCCTTATGCAGCCGTACTAAGCAGCCTGGCTAGGCCTCATGTGGCACCGCCCGCTGGTGTCGGCTGGTGACTCCCTACCGTCCGCGGTGAGGGCTGCTCTCCCTCTGACCTCTCCGCTCTCTCTCCTTTCACAGCGACTTCACGGTGATGGGCGCCAACGACCACTTCATGTGTACGGACGTCGAGTGGGACCCGACCGGCCGCTACGTGTTCACCGCCGTCTCCTGGTGGGGACACAAGATCGACAACGGATTCTGGCTGTGGACCTTCCAGGGACGCGTCGTGCACCGCCACAACGTGCAGCGCATGTGCAACGTGCAGTGGCGGCCGCGGCCCAAGACGCTGCTCTCAGAGCGCCAGATCAAGAACATCAAGAAGAATCTGAACAAGTACGGCGCTCAGTTCGATCTGAAGGACAAGATGCGTGCCAGCAGGGCTTCCAAGGTCAGTGCGGGTCACAGGAGACGGGGCGGTCACGCCGAACGAAGGGTGACAGACTAGTGTCCACGTTTTCGTGAAGGAAATGTTTTTGTTTGCCTGGCTTTATGCATGAAAGGGATGTTAGCGAGTTTCCAGATTTATAAATAATGATAGCCATCGTATTCGACAAAGTCCATTATCAAAATAATGCATGTTTTTTATGACAGTTCCATCAGCAGCTTTCTTTTGTAATAATCCAACTGTTGATTAATCGATGCGCTTATGCGCGGTTGGAGATATAGGCGACGTATGCACTGTACCGTCCCGCTACCTTCTCTGACCGTTCTGCCTCTGACGCGCCCTCAGGAGCTGATCGAGGGCCGCCAGCGTCTGGTGAAGGCGTTCACCGAGTACAGGAACAAGTGCATCGAGCTCTGGAAGGAGCAGAAGCCGCGCCGTCTGCAGCTCCGCGACGGTGAGAGATCGGGATTCGTAACGTAACGTAGCGTAACGGGCGATAGAACGAACGTTACGTAACCGGTGTCGGAATAACGCTAAAGTTGGTAAGCTCAGCTATATGGACGCCGATGACATTTGAAATCCGGGCGCCTTAAAACCACGAGTTGCTGCTGTAATTGTGTTTGTAGGTTATGGTTTTACTCCCTCTAACTGTAAGCTCGCATCCGCGCGCTGCTTCGTAGCTCATACTGTAAGATGAGAGCCTATCTTCTTGCTACAGCGCTCATGCAGTTGACTGAAGCCGAGCAGACGGTGCCCGTTCTGACCGGTGTGTTCCGTCGCCAGGCGTGGACACGGACTCGCTGAGTGCCGGCGGCGGCGAGATGGAAGAAGAAAGTGTGGAACTGATCGTCAAGAAGGAAGTCACGATCATCCCTTAGGCGAGCGAGTGCGCGGTAGTGCGCTGTGTGTCTCCGCCCTCGCGCGCGTCTCCGCGTCTCCGCCGGCCGCGGAGGAGACCCGGTGCGCGTGAGGCGGCCAGTCGCACCGCCGCCAGTCGGCGCCGCCGGCCGGCCGGCTGATCGGCCGACCGACAATGCTGCCGCCGGACGCTGCCCAACCGTGGCCGCCGCCCCGCGCGGCTCCCGGGAATAAAGTGATTTTGGGACGGACTCGTTCTGTGTGTGCGGCGGATGCCGCGGTGATGGAGTGGTGTGTGATGGAGAGGGGAGAGGCGTCTGCCCCGCTGCGTCTCGTCTCTCGGTCTCTCGGTGATCGTTCGGCACTGGGGCGGTCAGTGCGGTGACAGCTCGTCCTGGTGCTGGGTCAAAGTCACGGTCATCGTGAGCGTGAATTGGGCGTGATGCACTGTTAGATTTCTAGACATGTGGGTTGGTGGGTTGTTACGGATGGTGGAGCGAAAGAGGGTCCGGTGATGAGGATACATTCAATATCGGATGTCCTAGGTAAAATGCCGTTGAACAGGTGTCCAGCTGCTACACCACTTCGTTGGTACCTCTCATTTCCCCAAGGAGACGTGTGAGATAGCCGTTGCCCATCGAAAGTATAAGGCGCGACTGAAAATATGCGGGCCACCCGCCACAGTCAGCTATTGTGCTCATTCCAAAGTATTGAAAGATGATCTCGTCTTTCTTCACCTTTGAATCTACTGAGTTCTTAAGTTTTTGGAAACACCGTAATTTGTTTCCAAGTAGCCTAGGTCGTTGTCATCGCGTAGAAGACTAAAGCCCTAAGCAAATTTAGGAAACGTGATAAAAAGCTGTAAGGCGGGAGCATCGTCCACACCCCTTTAAGGTACCACGCTTGTTGGTACTTTTCATTGTGATGCAGATAAAAAGCAATGAAAACTGCGAGAGGCAACGATGCGGTTCAGTCAGTCAAAATTGTTGTACCAAAAAGGAATGGCATGAAATCCCAAAATAAGTCCAAGGAGACTACTTTACACATGAAAATTTGTTGATCGAGAATCATTGGAATCCGAAGCTTGAATGGACGCCCAGCGCCCAGCAGTCATGAGCAACGCATCGGAGAGGGGCTTTTTCCTTGGGAGGATGAAACCAGGGCTGCGGAGTCGATGGATTTTCGGCGACTCCGACTCCGACTCCGACTCCGGCTTTCAAAAACCAGCTCCGACTCCGACTCCGGGCAGAATTGTCGACTCCGACCGACTCCAACTCCCGACTCCGACTCCGCAGACCTAGCAGGGCTGCGGAGTCGACAGATTTTCGGTGACTCCGACTCCGACTCCGGCTCGGGTTTCTAAAATCGACTCCGACTCCGACTTCGACTCCGGTCACAACTGTCGACTCCGACTCCGACTCTGACTCCGACTCCGCAGCCCTGGATGAAACCAATTATGGTCGCGACACGAAGATTGATGCTTGATGCGGAGGATACGCTGAGAATTCTCTTCTCTCCGAACCCGCTGGAGTGACACGATGTCTGGGATACATTTCAGTTTAGGAAACGGTGCAGCGAAGGACCGCGAGCTGGGCAAGGTTCGTATAACTGAAATGTCACTCCCGTAGGTCCATTGGAAGATCATCAGGCAGATTGCGAGGGGCCTAATTTCAGGTTTTCCAGGGTCCTATGCAGCTCCGGACTGAGACCCAACTGACTGGGATGGTGCGGTCGCTCAGTAGGTGGGTTTGCACCGAACAGAGAGGGGTCAGACCGCATTATCAATAATTCGGTGTTTTGTATCGTTGATATAGAAGGCGATCGCTCAACCACACCCAAATTTACATTGGCAATGCCCGGAGGTGAAATTTTCCACATCTGGCGACTGCCGCTCCGGTCACGGCTGTACACGACCTATCGGCTGTATATCACCGCAGTCACGGCGCCGGACGAGACAGGCGGCCTGACGCCGATAGTAAATACGAGCGCGAGTAACGTCATATGCGTGGCCGTGGGTTGCACCTGTCGTGGAACTCTAACATGGCCTGCCAGACTACCGCTTTTGTCGTCATCCTCGCTGACATAGCGTTAAAAAAAAGTTGAAATAATAACACGCTGCGAAATCACGCCGACTTAGACCTCAACCGCCTCTTTGCTTTTGCTTCACTTTCAGAATTATTTAAGTAATTCGAATTTCGAATACCTTAAATCTGCAAGTCCATGCGAATAGCAAAAGCCAGCATGGACACTAAATGTCATAACCGAAGGACCTGTGATGGTAAACAAAGGGGACAGTGCCATCGTCCTCAAAGAAATGCAACTGCCGGTCTACTGGCAATACCGTTCGGCCTGCGTTTGTCCGTTACCCTTTAACTCCGTATGTCCGCGCACCTAACCCCTCCCACACCCTCGCACACAGTGGCCACAGTCTGAGTACAGTCCCCACAGTTTATTTACATACACACAGGCATTCGCTAGTGTTCTCGGGCTGCCGTCGGCCCCACTGCGCGCGGCGCTCGCGGCCCGTCACTGTTCCGTCTTCATTCCCGTACCGACGGGGCCGTGCCGACGCTCCCAGAGCATACGGTGCTTCTGCTTCATGTAGCAGTCCTTGACGTTGGCGTACGCACTCAGGTCACCGTCTGTGGCAGAGGGAGACGGGGAAACGTTACCGGTCGGGAGGATACAGGGGAAAACCGTACCGGCCGGGAAGATACAGGGAAAATGGTATGTACCCACGGGCGGATGTAAAGAACACGTTACCAGTCGGACGAATACGGGGCCATTTGACGGAGAGAAGAGAAAACGTTACCAACCGGGCGGTCTCAGGGGGAACAATAAGTACCAGGCGGACAGGTCTTACTAAACTTCCGACCAATGTTGGTGAATAAAATCAAGTATATCGACAGGCCTAAAAACACAAAACGAGAGACGTATCCGTTAATATTCTAACAAAAAATTGCAACGGTCTTAGCCTGAAACGGTGCAAAAGTGTCGCCACAGGTGGTGCAAAACAGTGTCCTGAAATTGATTTTCCGGAGAGTGTGATTGAAGCCGCAAGGACGTCACTATTTCAAAAGGACGTCGATATCGGTGCGGAGCCTAAGCCACTGAAGATCCCTTAAATCTCTTGAAATTAGCGATTTTCACTGGCAATTTTTAATAATAGCACCTCAAGGCACCTCAAATGATCATATATAGACACAAAGTAATGCCAGTTTACCCCTAGTACGATACAAAATTCAATTATTCACCACAAACACAAAAACAACACTTTGAAGATGTTAAGTTCTTGTCCATGATCGTACACAACAGTCAACAACAAATATGCTTCAACAAAAATCAGCCCAAGAGCCAACGGCTATCTCTAAATATTGACGTCATAGGAGGGATATTTATATCGAGCAAGAGGAGTGACGTAAAAAACAGACGTCCAAACAAAGAGATGGAAAAGTTAGGAAAATTAATTTCCATAGCTTCCTGTTATGAAATTCAATTAAATAAACTCCAAGGTAGACGCTGAATTTTTCTTGGCTCTAAAAAATGTGAAATCATTGTGCACTTTTCACTTTTGTACCGACGTCGATTTAACGGGAATGACAAGGTCAATCGACGTCCCCAACATTGCGTGTATTTTTAAGCCAAGGACGGCATACTTAAATTAAAACTTAAAATTCGGTAACTTTATTTTAATTCAAACAAATAAACACAAGCTTTTTCAACAACCAGTATCAACATATGCAAAATTAACTACCTTTGAAGTGCATGCTCGAGGGGCAGCGCTATCCCGTTACTGTGACCTTCTGAGGGGAAAAAATAATTAAATATGTTGCAGTGATTCGATACAAAAGGTATGTTGTGTGCTTATAGATAAATGTCGAAGGAATATATTCGCATGATTAATTTTTATCTATACACTGCACAGTTACTTAAACTGAAAAGTGGAAAACGACGTCCTCAGATCCCTCTATTTCGACATCTTTTCTCCTTCATATGGCAGCTATTACCTTCACATGGTAAAGGAAAAAACAATTCCATATCTGACGCACAGAAAACGAAAATAAAACCGCGTTGTTTACTGTATGCATTACTGTTAGCTGGCCAGCGGAGTAGGAAAGGGGAGTTGAGTATAAGAGTGGGTTTGTGAGGCCTTGGGATGTGATTTTGCACAGCCGTGTTTTTAGGCCACAGAGGTGATATTTCTTTTTGTTGTTTGCTTTTGGTGTTCGATATACCTGCCGACTTTTATCTGTCAGGGACGTCGTTAAGCTTTCCGGGACGTCGCAAAGAGAATCTGTTCGGGTGTGGGTTTCCACCCAAATTCACGAAAATCAGGACACTGGTGCAAAAATGCCGATAACATCAGCCGATAACATGAGCTGAGATCCAACTTCGGGTCCGGTAGAACTGTGGAGTGTTTGAGCTCAGGCATGTCACGATCATGCTATCCTCACCAGAAAAGGCCGGTTAAGGAAAAATTTCTGGGCTAAAAAAATAGTTACTTGCCGAACTTTAAGCAAAAAAATGTACGGAACGAATTAATAATCGAACTTGTCATATGCAGATATAGTGTCACGCCACTTACACTTAATGAAGAAGTTTGTTTCAGCGTCTTCGGAGATTTTCTGCAGTTCCACACACTTCACGGGGGCGTCGACGCCCTCATAGAAGGCACAGTCTCGCCACCTCTGTCTCAAGATGTTAACGATCTCACGATCCACCTGCCTGGGAGCGAAAACGAAACGGTCACAAACAATTCACACGCAAACACAGGAACTTGTGTTCACCGTTCACCAAACTCGTGTCTAAAGCAGTGCTTACCATTTGAAATAGGCTTTTAGTCGGTTTCCAGCCTGCGACATTTGTGAATTGTGTTCAGCCAGAAGTCTCACACAGCGCACTACATCGCGAAGCACATGCGTGGTTTTACAAAAAGACAGGCCTCGATGACTACAAAATGTGCCGCTTGGGGGTTCGATGGTTATTCTAGATGTCACCGCCACATTAAACTAACTCCACTTAATTCCGCATGGATTGGGTACCTAGATCTTGCATTTACCGCGTCCGCTATATTATAAACCAGGGTTTCGGAGTCGTGGTAGTGCTCTTCCGACTCCGACTCCGACTCCGACTCCGGGCTCCTGACCGACTCCGACTCCGACTCCGACTCCGACTCCGGGTCTGATACAAAGGGCAATAGTGGCTGCCAAAATTCCGCGTTATATGACGAGCCATGTTAGGTCTGTAGGGTGTCTGGAAAGTCCTGGCTTTTCAACATTTTTAAAATAAATGCCTCTGGTCCATAGATACTCAACAATAGAACAAAACAATGACCAGAAACACCAAGCCACATGCTTCTGCTTTAAGTGTCCATTCATTGTAACCACCGTCTGTGCCGACGACGGCCTCGACATAAGGGCGGAAACGCCTGCGGGTTTTGACGATGCAGGACGATTTTCTTCGATTGCCGCTGAAATGCTGCTTCAGTCTCAGCAGCTTTGGCATACCGTGGTCGTAACTGATTGAGAATATTTTCTAAGAAATTTCCGATCCGGAATGCACCTTTGTCTGCTCAACCGTTCGCCGGGAAACGCCGCATCGCGCTGCAACTCGCGCCTCGTTCAAGCCGCACCGGGCCCCCGCGCGCGGGCTCTCAGCGACAAGGCGCATCTTCGCCCGTATACCTAGAGCACTGAAAACGGTTTCAAGGTCATCTTCACACGACACCTAGCTGAGCGGTGAACGAGGGGTCATATCTGCGGTGATTGGTTGAAAGTCCAATAATCGCAGCGCGCGTTAGACGACGTCCAAAAGAGGCGCCAGAACTTTCCGGACACCCTGTTCGCGCACCGGGAGATCGCTCCGGTTTCGTTCATGCGGTCACCATTTCTCCCACGTGGACGCAGCTGAATCTTTAGAGACCAGCGGCCGGCGGCCAGCTTGAAAACCCGCCGAGAAGCACGAGTGTGGCCGTATCATGACCACGGGCATCGCCATCATGTCGGTCTGTGTTTGTGTTAGGCACTTTTTGGAGCGATAAAAGAAGAAAGTAAATATACAGTTGTCATTAAGTCTTTGACACTGGATAGTAGAAGTTATAACGCGAATACAAATTGCTTGCCTACTAGGTTATGACATGACTTGAAATTTGTAAGATGTAACGCTAGCTTTTCAGAACAAAAACAAGATGTGTGAAAAAATACCTTATTTGTGATCACCGGAAGCGAATTTTGCCGTGGGGCCACTGGTTAAAAACAACTGAAAAGTGATAGCACGGATTTTAGACTTCAGTTAACTTTCCGGAGTCGGAGTCGAGGCTCCCGAACCGACTCCGACTCCGACTCCGACTCCTGGCTGCTTGCCACGACTCCGGGCGACTCCGACTCCGACTCCGACTCCGACTCCGAAACCCTGTTATAAACACTGGTAGTCAGAAGGAAAAAAGCATTTGTTTGGAATGACCTCTCCCGAAATTGTCAGTTCTCACCGGTCCCTGATCCACTGTTCGTTGGCCTCAAAGAAGCAGACAGGGTCGTCAGTGTAGCACTGGTCGATGGTCGGCACCCGGTTGTAGCTGCGGTGGTACCAGGGGTACTCCTTGCGGTTTGGCACCACCACACGCTCTGGGAACCACAACACAGTGCTGAGGAGGGGAGCATACAGGCACTGAGGGCAATCACACCAAGGGAAGCCTGTGTCTGTGGGTGGACGAATGTCTCCAGATGCATAGGAAATTCAGTGCCTATTTTGGGAAGACTGAAGGCATAAGCTGTGCGATTTCATGGCTGTTGAAGTAATGTGAGATTCAAACTAATTTAAAATTTAATTTCGACACTTGTTCAACCAATTCAAACAATGATTTGATGACACTTTTTGGTAGGCAAATAATTTGATAAAGTACCTGTTAAATGATTTCAACATGAACCATTGAATATGTTTCACTAAAAATGCTAATTTTGGAGCCTAGCTTGGAGATCTTGGGACATAAGCAGTAGGTATATCAGTCATCCCATAAGTGATAAAAAGAGACCAGTTAGCATGTTTAGGGGCTAGCATCCAGGGGTTAGCAGCCTTTTTTATGTGTGCTGAATATGGGATTTGGAAGCAGCTGGCAGGCAGGAGACAATTTGACACAATGACGCCAAATGCTTGGGAAATATGACAGCATTATTGATGAATTTTAGATGTGACAGCTCACATCCTTTGCCCTGTGCCATTTGATGAAGCATACCTTTTTAAGACAGACTGGAAAAGAAAAAGGGAGTTTAAAATAGAAGGAATGTGTGAGCTAATGTATCATCTGATCAGAAACAAGCTTGATCCTAAAATAATTCTTTTAAAATAGATACTCTAATTTTGCCAGCAAGCAACAGTAAAAATTAAAACAAGAAGTATGCATTTTCATTTCTGAAATTATCTAACTGACAGTAGACAGGATTGTTTGACACTGGACCTCATGAACCTGTCCTCTAGCAGTGGAGAGAGGCAGTGGAGATAGAGATGGAAGCATTTGCAAATGGTACTTACAAATGGTATATTTGTTGTGTATTAGCCTTAGCCAAGCTGGCTGGCAGCACTTGAGTAATGGCAGCATTTAAGGGACATGAGTGTAATGTCTTCCTTTTTCACGGGGCCTCTCTGTTGCCCATATATGGCTGGTTGTTTTTGTGTGTCCTACTATAGTGTGATTGCTGTGTAATGAACAGTACAGCTCTAACCGAAGCTTAAGTCTCAGCTATGAAATAAGCAGACAAATCTCATGATACAATATTAAATATTAAACAGGTTAAGTATGTGTAGGAGAAAGTATTGTGCCAATGCACACTTCATTCACTTTTGTATGGAAAGTCAATTTCTAAAAGAGTCTGCACACTTAATTCACTTTCATATGGAAAAAGTCAATTTCTGATTAGGAACCATGGGCCAGAACACAAAGTTAGTTGCTGATACAAGCCACGGGCCATACATCAGATGGTCATGGGCCAGATCCCACCCGCAGGCTGTAGGTTGCCGACCCCTGGGACCCTGGGCTTATCAGTTTAAATTTAAGAATAAAGACAACATAAAAATAAGCAACTATAGCCTGTGGATCAGCGAGAAAAGTCAATGAAGTATTAACTGTGTCACACATTTTCAAAAGTAACTACCTAAGTAACTACCAGGTAAGTACCTAACTAAAATGTGATTATATTTGCAAAACTTATTCACCTACCTCTAAACCAGGTCACTGGCTTATCGATTGTGTTGAAAACTGATGTGCAGAATTTGGTAAACAAATTATCACTGTATGGGTCTGTCATCTTCGAGGGCTATCAATAACCCAGTAAAATTCAGAAAACAAATTATCTCCAATTCAACCAAGGCCGTACAAGAGATCCAACTACTACAACATAACACTTGAGCACTTCAATGAGTAAACAAGTGTTCAATCGTCATCGGTATTCTGACATCTGTTGATATTCCTTTCCGCAATCACGGTCGTCCGCAATCTGCAAAGCAGCATCAGTTTGTTTTAGACCGTTTAATTGAAGGGTTTCAGTAATTGTAATAAGAATCTTTATATATTGCGAGCGTCATTCCAAAGAAAATAACAGCATTCACAAAGAAAATAAATATAGATTAAAACAAGCAAATATTCCCGACTTTAGCTGGCAGCGGCAAGCATAAAAAAGAACACACAAACCGTAAATTTTAACGCCGCTGCTGCGCCGTTCAAAGCATCTGAAAAATCCTCGCGGCCATCTGGTGGCGAACTCTTTATTCTTTTGTAGTATAGTTTTTGGCGTTATGAAGAAATACCCTACAAATGCGCAGTGCACTTGATGCACTCACCATTGCACTCCCCCCACGGTGACTATAAATATCACGGTGACTATAAATAATAAATATCACGGTGCTTATCAGTTATCACCATCTTTGTTTGGTTGACAATTTAGTTCATACCTAGATATTTATGACTTGCTATATATTAAACCGAGAGTAGGTAAAACAATTCTTTTAAACGTCGAGCCGATAGGCGAGACGTTTGCTAAGAGACAGCATGCTTATTGCTTAGAATGCGCATTACTGCAAATGATTACCTTCGATAAAAGCTATTTGTCGGTACACAGCTACTGTTACATAATACCTATGTAATACCTATGTATCCGAGAGAAAACTGCGCCGCCTTGTGTGTAGCGCCGTGTGTGGCGCTACAGGCTACAGTCAATAGTAGGCATTGCTATTCACCATTGTTCGGCGTTCTTTTATGCATAAATTTAGTCCGAACCTTTTGAATGGAAGGATTTACAAGGACAGAGGCCCCGCTAAGCAGAGCTTGTTGTATTGGCCCTGCCTTCATCTCCCGATCGCGCAATTCTTTGTCTATGGCAGAAATTTTGAGTCCGAAGTTTAGTGTACACACAGGCACATAGCTGCGCACGGCCCGTCTCCCTCAGTGACTTCCGCTGGCCTGCCACCGACCCGAACCATGCCCGTCAGGAGACTCATTGCATTGAGTTACGGGACCGGCTCAATAAAAACATATACATGTTTTATTTCTTTATATATTTATTTATGTAGGTACCGATAAAGTATAAGTTGTCGATTCGGTAGTCGGTGCTTCTAAAATGCTCTCGAGTGCTAATAATCAAGCGTGCGGAACACGGGCGGCATCTGATGCTGCCCACTATCTAGTAGGTATCTACCTACCCTACTACCAGGATGTCGTCAGATATCGTCGAACAGACTGCCCTTTTCGAAACAGCATTTCGGCTGGGCAATCTGGGTAAGCAAACGCCCTTTGGGGGAAAATCAAGCGCATAGGTAACGACGTTTCGGTAAAGGCACGCGCTTCTGATTTCACGAGCCCACTGGAAAAAGCGGTACAGCGAAACTTCACACGATTCATGCGTATGAATTTCGACATCGAGTCCGCTCGACTCCTTGGCACTTTTGGGGTTGAAAAGGCCTACTTCTCGTTTTTTTTTTGCGAGCGATAAAGCGGCCGTTTAAGAAAGATAACAATTTTCAGTACCCTCGTTAATCAATTTTACGTCTACTCTGAACATTTGATGACCCTGATCCTAATAGCTTTGACCTGTGATCTCTTTCTCGAGACCGTATCAGACCGGAATCGCGATTCGGCGTATGTCAGCGCACACTATCCAGTATCTATGCGTTTCCATGGCCTTTTTGTGGTTGTAAACGTTCCGATATGTGAGTTGATGTTTGTCTCATGCATTTTGGTGGGTGTCAAGGTCATGTGAATGTCAGGCCAAGGTTATTGAACTCAAATGACCTTGGTTCACTTTTTCGAATATTTCATGCTTCTAGGGTAGTTTGTTTGGAGCTGATTACGTTTTACCATCTATTTGAACATTTGAGAAGTAGTTTTGGTTGACCTGACCTCACCTGACCCGACCAGCTCCAAATACATGCATAGGTATGTTACAGGCAATGTGTGGAATCAGGCATTCTATAGAATGCCTGACCGACCAGGCATTCTATAGAATCCCTAGGCATTTTATATAATGCCTAGGAAATACACTTATCTTTCCAACAAATTAGTGTATGTTGTGTACGATTATGAGCACAGACATGATTATTTTAAGACAATAATCATGTCTGAATTATTATATATAGTTATTATTATATTATACAATTAATATAATTCTATGATATATAGTATCAATTATAACTTTAATATAATTATAATATAATTACAACTTAAATATAATTATAATATAATTATATAATTATATAATTATATTATAATTATATATAATAAATAAGGAAATAAATAAATATATATATATATATATATATATATATATATATATATATATATATATATATATCAACAAGGGGGGCGTTTCAGTCCCCCCCCCTAAGATCTCGGAAATTTACCGGCTGATTTTCAAAATTCAAACGGCGTTCGATAGCCCCACCGGGGAACTACCTTGTGACCAAATTTCATTTACCTAGGTCAAACCGATGGCGTCACAGGTCAGGTCAAAGATCGGATTTTCACCGTTCACAGGCATTTCAAGAAATGTGTTGTGAAATCGAGTAAATTGGTAAGTTATTGAAATTATCGATGGTTAATTGTTCGAGAAACACATACTTTGCTATCTGAGGTCACTGATACCAGGTCAGGTCACAGAGGCCAGGTCACTGGGGGTCACAATATGAAAGTGTCATGTGATGCATGTTTTATGGTCCATGCTATATGACAAATGCGATTATTTGGGTCAGGCAGCCTTTGGGGCCAGCTTAGGTTACGTTCTGGTGAAGTCCAGGTCAATATCAGGTTAAATTAGGTTAAATTTCAAAGTTGATATTTTTGCATAAAATGGGCATCGATTCGATGCAGCTGTTGCTGTTGTTGTTGTCCCCTCCATCCGCCGCAGAGCCGCGGTGTAGCTTCTTAGCTCTGGAGGGCCCTGAAGGCGGCCACCAGGGCCGCCACCGTGTCGCCGCGCCTGACCTCCTCCACCGTCGGCAGTATGTTGCCGACAGCCGGGATTCTGAGGCGAACCCCCATCAGTCCCGGGCAGGTCAGCAGGATGTGTCGTGGTGTGTCAGCTTGTTCGCCGCACAGCGGGCAACGAGCTGCAGGGCAGTCAAGGTTCCTGCACTGTGGGCAGTCCGTAGATGGGTTTCGTCCGATAGAATGGAGAAACTGCGCCGAGCCGCTCCAGCGCCCAGTGCGGATCTGGTGGACGTCTACTGCTGTCGTCCTGTCCATGTTGGTGAGAGGTGATGGCCATCTTGCACCCATGAGCTCTCTGTACCACCCGGTTGCGGCTTTGCGGTCGGGGTCCGGGTATGTCGGCCTGTCCCTTGCGGCGCGGTCTCTGGCGGTGCGGACTGCGGCTCGGTAGATGGTGTCTACATCGAGCATGACGTCTTCTTGTGCCAGCGTCGCAGCCTCGTTTGCCAGGGCGTCGGCGGACTCGTTCCCCGGGATCTCGCAGTGGGATGGAACCCACTGGAGGGTGACCGTTCGGTCCCCGGCGGTGAGCTCCAGTAGCTGCTTCCATATGGCAGCGCCTCTGGCCGAGCGCTGTGCCGACGGACCCTCTCTCAGCGCCGCTATCGATGCAGCTCGTCACGGGGAGTCTAATGGTGGTCTTTGTTTTGCCCTACGTGTTCTAGAATTGCCAAAAATTGAGTTTGAAAATTTGACGTCATCATATTTGAACAGGTTTTCGCTATAACTTGGCCAAAAAAGCGATATCGATCTGAAATTTGCTATGTAGATAAAAGACGGTAGGTACTATCATATATATTCTGTTTTTTTAACTCAATTTTTTTATTTTTTGGCTAATATATTCAAAAAGTCACTTTTTATTTTTGGGGCCATAATCCAAAAATTTCAAGAATCCAAGACATCACTTTTGTAGTTCTGTCAATTATACACCTTTTATGTATTGATCATTTTTTCTGTATCTTCAAAGCTGTAGGCCTGACAGCTCTTCTCGCGAAGCTCTTTTTCGGTCGAAAATGGCAGAACATGACGTCATTCTGACGTCATTTGTGGCCAACCTATTTTAGTCTCTGGAACAATTTTTATTCACAATGTGTAAAATTGATGCCCGGAAGGGGTCCTGAAAGTTTGGTGTGATACCTGCAGCCGTTTAGGAGATATCGACGGAAAGAGACAGGGGGGGGGGGACGTTTCGCCCCCCCCCCCTACGGGGCGCGGGTTAATGATGTAACATTATTATTTTCTGCCGGACTACCTTGCGGTCAGCTATTTATGTTCATTCAGTAAAATGTTCATTCAGTCATTCATGTTTATCCAGTCAAATTTTCCGGTCAGGTATTCAATCTAACCTTATTAGGTCAAACTGTAGATTATCTCAGGCTTTCATTCTGAGAGTACATAGTACCTATCAGACATGTGCACGGATCCCAGACAACCAATCACGGAAATCGAGATGGCCATTAGATTGACGGTCTTCAAGCATGAAATTATGGTGGAAAACGTGGCTCATAGAAGCCTCTCAATGAACCAACTATTTTGCATTCCTTCAGGGTTAACAGTTCTGAGAAAATCCCTCAAGATCCATCTCGGATCCATGATTCGTGACCATGGATCCGAGATGGATCTTGAGGGATTTTCTCAGAACTGTGAACTCTGAGGGAATGCAAAATAGTTGGTTCGTTGAGAGACATCTATTAGCCATGTTTTCCACCATAATTCCACGCTTAAAGACCACTAATCTAGTGGTCATCTTGATTTTCGTGTTTGGTCGTCTGGGATCCGTGCCCATGTCTGGTACCTATTTATCTTAACGCTAGAAAGACGATGGTGGTAATGTTAATATCGGAAACGCCTTTGGTAAAAAAATTTGCATGGAAAAAAAGTTTCATAAATCGTCCATTTTTGGAGGTGTTTGCCCTCTAAGGCATCGGAGGTCAAACTGGAGCAAACGGCTACGAGCCAAAAATGGCCGAAAATTGGCCTGACCTAACAATAGCCACTGGCGGATCCAGGCTTGCGTTTTTTTGGGGGGGCCAACTCATGCAGGAACCAAACCTAGGGTACCCCAAATCCTGTTTTCTCATCGGATTTAGGGCACTTATTTTTCGTCACAGCCCTGACACTATGAATATTTTTTTTAAACTAAAAAGAAAAATATATAAATGGTAGCCCACCCGACCCATGCCTTTATATTA